AAATAGAAGACAGAGTATTCCCGAGAGAGTAATTATTCGAACTGAACCAGAGTGAACCTTCGACGGAAAGGTGGACAGCTTGAGTGTCCCAATGGTCCACATAAAACTTCGTTCTTGAGTTCAAACTTACCCTTACCATTCAAACTGATAAACATTGAACTTATCTAGTTACTTTAGTTAATTCTAGAGTTGCTCACCCATTTAATTACTTCCTGTGCTTGAGCGCATCAACATGTGAGTCCTTAATTTAAATTTCTAGAGTGTGTTTTATGATTGTTATGTTGAGGTAAGGCGAGTTTTAGGTTGATCCATCTGAAATGGATCAAAGTTCCACTGTCTAATAAAAAAGCAACTTAACGGATTGTTCCGACCCGGTTTTTAACGGCGTTCATGTATTTTGGGTATCTAGAGACCTAAGTATGGGGACGTTTCTAATTCTAGAGTGGGGGGATATTTTAGTAGTAGCCTTTAAGCTGTAACGGGTCGTAGTCTCATGTCACAAGCGAACCGAATTGGCTCCGACTGATTTGAGGCGGAAAAACACAAGAGATAGTGTCCCTGACTCCTGAGCCAATAGTTATAGGGCCTATTTTTCTTAAGCCTCATGTGTGACTGTAGTAGACGAATGTTACAGTACCGAGGAACCTCGGTCAGGTTATTTTATCGAGCAGAGAGTTTGACTGGACTGCATTAAAGGTTGGAATTCAGACAATTCAGCCAAATATATACAGACAATCCAGCCTGAGACATTTCAGCCAGTTTTACAGAACACTAGATTCGAAAGAAAAAAATTAGAATTGGAGCTATTTCACGGTTTAAGGTCGCCGGTGGGCGCGCTTCGCCGCTTTGCGGGGATAACCGGCTCTAAATTTCGTATAGAGTCCTACCCTCTGTAGGCAAGCTCGCAAAACGTTGGCGCGACTGCCGCGGTCACTATTATTGGCTGAACTGTCTGCATACTTTTGGCTGAATTGTCTGAATTTCAAATCGGCTGAATTGTCTTTGGCCGAATTGGTTGGACGCGCTGTGGTCACATTCTTCGCTGAGATGAGCGAATCTTCCGAGATGAGCGAAGTTTTTTCGGTAATTTTGTTGACTTCATATAATAATGGTTGAACCTTTAGAAAAATTTTTAAATAAAAAAGCCAACCGAACTGACCCTCGTCAGATTTTTTGGAAAATTTTGACTTAGTATTTTACTAGTTTGTTTCTGATCGGATGTATTTATCTTGTTCTTTCTTGTGCAGTTAATAGTGTTCGTCAGTTTTTTTCCTAGTTTTTTTGTATAGTTTCTGTGTATCAAGTTTGTCGTCTACAGTTTATTGTTTTTTTTTTGCATTTTTGTTTAAATTGTATGGGAAAGTAGCCATTTTATTTAATGTGTCTGAGATTAACCAAGTAGCTAGTGCTATTAATATAAAATTTTTGATAATACTGCTCAAATTTTTTGGAAGAATTTATCGTTTTCCTGAAATGTCATCCTAAGTTGATTTGCGCTATTTTTGTCCGAAAAACGTATTTTATTTCTATGGTTATGCATTGCTTAAATATTTCGAAATTTTTTAGAAATATCATTTTTAATCTTCTTATTCGAGCTTGTTCTGCGCATTTGTTGAGCCAATAAATGGACAGTTTAGTATTTTCAATTTAAGTTTCGATTCTATATATTAAGTTGAACTTTATTCTTATACGCTATTTTTTCTGCCTCGTAAATATAAGGGAAGTTTTGTGTTTATTAACTTCTTTCTCAGAAAATTTTGCTTTTTGGATTTTTTTTCATCGTGTAATTTATAAAAGGTTTCATCGCTTGTCCTAGCGTAATTTAATGCTGTGCAGCCAAGTTAGCTGGAACTGGAAAAAAATTGTTGCTAGTAAGTTTATAGTAATTGATTGATGTTAAAAAAACTCTTGCAAAACAGTATATTCAAATTTTTCTCATGTTAAGATTCGATGACAGTATTTTAGATTCTAAGTTTATTTCGTAAATTATGCGCATTTTGAAACAAAACTTCAATTTGTATGTTACAAAGAGACGAACGGTTGCTGCGATGAATAAAATTTACTCCGGTGAAACGGTTGAGGTAAAAAATGCATTTTGCTCAAAATTTGTGAATTTTCGTTGTTTTCAATCCACGCATCTTATTGTAGTTGCATTAATCACGCCAGAACAGAATTGTTCTATCGTTGCTTTTTATTACCAAACTCTTCAACCATGTCAAAATTAGCCCAAAAAGAAAAATTTTTGATTTTTTTTTGCAACCAGGACGCAAAGGATTCTGCTGCTAACGGCAGAATTCGACTTATAGAACAGAATGTTTTATGGCGCAGCAGATAGAAAAGAGTTTCAATTATATGACAGAATTTATCGATTTTTTCCTCAGAATTCTTTTTAAAATAGTAAATGAATTTTTTATCTCAAAGGAGTCAAAATGATACATTTTTGTAATAAACGCTTCATTGATAAAAGTTTTCATGGAGCAGAAAGAAGCAAATATTTGTTTAAAGCAGTAGAATTTGCTCTATATAGCAGCAGAGTTCTTTGAGCCCTGATTGTTGACGCGGCTCGACACTGGTATGATAAAGTTAAAGAATTTGCCTTGTGGTGGCACCCAGTCCGGTTATTTGCATGTAAAACACTGGTTTGTAGAACTTTAATTAAAACCCCACCGGACACATATCACTGAAATACAACAACAGAGTTAACATACTGTCACATATTCCCCAGACTTTCTTATTGAGTTCGCATGGATCATCAATGATCGGCGAATGGATTACTGAATATTGGAATAGTTGTCCAGTAACGAATTATCCAGCTGTGAACAAAAAGAGAGTAATGAAAATAACTCAAGAAAGGAATAACAAGTGCTATACGGAGACTTTCTGGTGGCAAGAAAAATATTATCATGAGCAGTCACTCGATATAACTAAATACTTTTCTGGCCCAACATAAATTGTTGCAAACTTTCCGACGACTTTGGAGATAACTTTGTTAGGCAATCTGCCAATTCCTCGTCTGTAGGAACCCATTTTAACTGGTGTAGAATTCCATCATTGATCAAAGAACGCAAATACGCTATATCCACTCTCAGTCTCTTGTCTTTCTGAACTTTCGTTGAGAAAACGTTTTGCACTAAAGAAAGATTATCCGTATATGTTCGAATATTGACATTTTCCCCCGTTAACTCAGAAATAATCTTTTGACAAAGAAATGCAGCATCAACTGCATTTACACAAGAAATTGTTTCTCCGCATAAAGTGCTCCTGACAACACGTCTCAGTTTCTGAGACTTCCAGCTCAAAAGAGCAGGTCTTTTGTCAGACGCCTGTAAAAAGACCAAATAACCGGACTGGGTGCCACCACAAGGCAAATTTCCAAGAGAAGAATCGGTAAAAACGTTCAGTTTCCACTCATCTGCACTTCCAAGATTCTCGAACATCAAATATGAATCAGATGCAGAATACCTCAATTTTCTCACAATTTTATTGACAGCTAAGAAATGTGAGCGCTGCCAATCTTTGGACGAACCAAGCAATTGACATACTTGAAAAGACACATCAGGACGAACCTGTGATGCGACCCATTGTAACTTCCCCAGAATAGCACGCATATCACGCCTAGCAAACTTGTTGACCACAAAATCATGTTTTGGCACAATAATCTCCCGCAATTCTTCTACATACGAGGATAAGTCCAGTTTAATTCCTCTTTCCGTTTGCGATAAGTCAAACCCAAGATAACGAAATGGAGCTGTCTCTGTCGATCTGATGTCGAAAACCACGTCAAGCGACTTCATCACAGAATATTCAAACTGTTCGGTGCCAGCCCACAAAAAATCGTCAACATGGGTAGTTAACAGTCCAACTATTTCACCCGCTTGATTTTTCTTGTAAAACAAACACGGATCAAACTCTGAAACACAGCATCCTGTGGCCAATACTTCGTCTTTAACTTTATCATACCAGTGTCGAGCCGCGTCAACAAGCCCGTAAACGCATTTTCGTAATTTCCAGAGTTTCCCCGATAATCCAACTTCCGGCGGTGGCATAACATATACATCACGGGTAAGAGGTTTTCCTTGTAAAAACGCCGTTCTTATATCCATCGAATTACATTTCCACGCCTTGGAGGCACAGAGTGATACTACTATCCTGAAAGTATCTTTGGAGCAAGTCGGAGAATCCTTTATGACGTTATGAAGATCTGGATCTTCAAAACCCCTAACTACGAGTCGTGCTTTCTTTCTATCTGGCTTCTGAGTGAGCACCCACTTGCAGGACAGATATTCTTGCCCTTCGTCGATAACTTCCTCAAATACTTCGTTTTTCTTCCAACTCTTCATTTCATCCATTTTCGCTTCAAAATAGACATCTGCAGTCGCGTTCAGAGCACTGACTTCTACATCCTCCAGTTTTGACACGTCAACGCAATCCAAATTCCCTTTAATTTCTTTGGTAGATTCATAAACAATATTCCACCAGTCTTTATGAACACCTGTCGACTTTCCTCCTCTGCTTTTGACAATCGCTTCAATTTCTTCTCCTTCAAACCCAGATTGGCGTGAAACAAAACGAATCCGTCGACCAGCGGCAGGTTTCAAGCACTCTCGTGATAAATCCTCAGAAATAGTCTCAGCAACGTCGTTTGGAACACAATTAACTGCTGTATCGCCTGGTACATCAATACGGAGTCCTTTTTCGATACCAGGTTCAATTGTAGCTGTATTTTCGCCTTCATCATCAGTTTCATCAACAACAACCTGGCGATCAGCGTCTGTTGAACCACTGTCGCCAAAAACTTCCTTTTTCTCCTCGAATCCAGCTTCTGCTTCTGATCGCCTTGGAGGCACCATCCACTTCTGTCTTCCATGCTTCAAAAGACATTTCATCTTTCCATTGCGGCGGGGTTTTATAACTCGTATTTGCCATCGTCTACCTCCTGCTACCATGTAAAACACTGGTTTGTAGAACTTTAATTAAAACCCCACCGGACACATATCACTATTTAATAAGTTTATCACAACAATTAGGCTAAAAGATATGCGTGCTATTCTGGGGAAGTTACAATGGGTCGCATCACAGGTTCGTCCTGATGTGTCTTTTCAAGTATGTCAATTGCTTGGTTCGTCCAAAGATTGGCAGCGCTCACATTTCGAACTACCAAGTGATAAAGCCACACAAGGGCCTTTCTTCCCGTCAGCTAAATCTGTGATAGCATTCCAAACACTGATTGCAACTGAAGCATCAGAAACAATGTTTTTTTTTAGGTTCCAAATGATTTTTTTTCCCGGAATTTAAGTTTAAGCGGCAGTTTTACCCTGAATTTAACTTCATGAAGATAAACGAGAAAATAAACACAAAAAGTATGAGAATGAAACTCATTTTGTTCACCATTTAACCAAGCGGTTGTTCAAAATTGGTTAATTTGACACATTTGACTGAAATTTCTTTTCAAAATTCTTTTTCAATTTCAAAAAACGCTGTTAATTAACTTGAGTTTAATTAACAAGTCAACCCCGCCTGAATCTAAGGTGGTTTTTATCTTCGGAACTCAGAACAAAAAAAAATTGTTGGTAATCGTGTTTGTCGATCAATATTTTGTTGTTTTCCTCACGACCGTCGAGAATGTCCATCAAAAATGCATTGAAAGTAGATTTAAGGTAATTGTTGACATCACATCAGAATCTTGTTATTTTTCAGATCTGCATTGAAATAAAACCGACTCTGCAAATGGAAGGTGCGTTGTGTTTTCTGAAGTTTACCAAAGCACATGCGAAATTTGCTGTCCTTTCTGCTTTTTAAATAATATCATTGCAATAAATTTTCGAATTAATTTCATTTTTGCTTTGAATTATTTGTATATCTTGTTTTGTTAATTTTCAACGATTTTAGAGGAACCATTAAATTTGCTAATAGCACGAAATGTTCCGACCACTTTGTGTCATTATAGTTTTTGTTTGTCATAATGAAATGGATAATTGCATCAGGCTGTCTCCTGTTTTCCTTGCTAATTAAGTTTTTGACAAAAAAGAACAAGTGGACAAAAATTTAAAGAACTAAAACTTAAAAACTGAGTCTGACTACTAAAAATCCAGATTGGTTTTCATCTTCTGAACACCATTTTGGAAGCCAACTCAGGTAAAAATGGAGTCTAAAAGCGACTGTGTGACGTATTTTTTAACATCAAATTGCCAGCACCAAACACTTTGAAAAAGTAGTCGGAACAAATTGGTTTGCTAATAATTGTTAGCAGCTACTTTGATTAAAATTAATTTGTAAATTGATCTGACTGATATCTAAGTTATTTTAACCATATCATTGACTATGAAATTGCGAAATTGCTCCTGTCTTGAGCCAGTAATCGCACACTAAAGTGAAAACGTCAGTTGGTTTTCCTGTCCGTTTAACTGGGTTGTGTTGCAAACAAGACAGGAAGAACTCCAGAAGAGGTTTGGAGAATTCACTCCATGGATATGGCACTATGGGCTGGATGGCTGATTCCTAAAAGTTGAACAAATCTTAGTTAGTGTTTTTGTTTTTGAGTTGGGATATCAGGTTTTTTATACTCACATATTGATTGTTATGTGGGCGTAGTACTTTGTCTCGAAATGACTGGTAATGTTCGTCCCTGTCTGTGCTAAACCTCCAGGGATAGTGGTTCGTAATCATACAGAACACAACCACTGCAAATGCCCAGGTATCTTCTTTCGTGGAAGCAATGCCTGACTGAATATCCCTTGAACCATTTAACAGTGTAGTCTGCAGCTCTGGCGGAGCAAATGGGTTTGTTTTTAGTCTTCGTTTGATTATTAGATCTGTACTGTCTAAAGATCCTAAGGCACATGCGTAGTCGAAGCATGACAGCTTGATTAACGGACTCTTTTCTCGTTCGAATACAAATATGTTTTCGGTGTTTATATTCCGATGAGCGAGCCCTAATTTGTGTATGAAATCTATAGCGTGTGCTAGCTGAAGACTAAATGTTTTGCAGTATGAAACTGAAAGGCCGTCGTTTTCCTGAATGATCGAGAATAGGTCGCCCAAATAGATCAGCTGGTCAAGCTCATGAGTGAAGCTACCCGAGACTTGCAGAGTTTTCAGTCCGCGGAGACGTTTGACGCATATGTAAGGATGCTTACTCAAGAGAAAGTGCTGAGTCAGTTCTTCGAGATCTAAGCAACAATTTGCTATCAAACGGTACGAAAACTTAGAAGAAATGGACGCTTCTCGAGCACGTTCTGACCAAGCCAATATCTTCCCCTCTAAAACGGTATAATGGAGGGAAGGGGTTCACTTGGTTTTTACATGGAATTTTCCGCCAATCAGTTTTGAGTAGTTTACAAGCAGGCCTATACGTTTCTGATCCAGATTATGAGAATGCGGTGAGTATCATAACTTGATCTACGGGGATTTTCAGTGGGGGGACTTGAAACGAAAGAACGCAGATTTCAAGATAGATTGTTGGTAGTATATGCAGCAATTGAGAAAGTTCATGCCCCAAAATGTTTTTTAAAAACAAGAATATGTTAAATGCTCAAAGTAAACCTTTGCTTGAAGAACTCGGAGATTGTCCTGTGAAGTTGTAATTGCTGAAGTAGTCAAGGCACATGTTGAGTTTGATTGGCTTCTTCGATCTCTTTTTGCTCCACTTCTCCCAAATTTTCTTCACTCTTTCTTGTTCATCTTGTTCGTTCTTCACGAGGTGCTCAGTGTTCATTGCACCCCGTGAATCGAGAACGATTTGCACGGGCTTTTCTTTTGGAGTCACAACTGCAGTGGTTGCGTAGCTTGATAAGGCGGTCATTGCGGCAGTTGATTTGATTGGATTCTGGGCCAAATAGATAACTTCATATATCTGTGCATGTAGTGGCGAGAGTGATGACTTTTTAATTAGAAATTTGACTTCTGCTCATATCTGAATTGCAAAATTTATGCGTTTTTTGGTGGATATTGTCAGTTTTGTTATGCATAGTCACAGTTGTCCTTTTCAAATACGTTTGAATTAGATTTTCTTTTTCATTAAGTTAAAATTTTGGCTTACCGGATTAAGCGGGAGCATAAAGTGAATAACAATTAGAAGATTGGCCTTCTGCGACTGTCAAAGAATTATACATTCGAGCGAAATAACGGCTGAAGTGAGCTGATTGCTCGCACATAAAATGGAAGCACAATTCCAAACTAATTCTTTTTCAGATCAATTTTGACATTCCGCTAAGAACTACCATTTAGTTTCCTATTAACTTTCAGCTGAGAACAAGTAAAAACTATTCAAGTTGAAATGACTTGGGAGGAATTTACAAGTCTGACGTAATTGTGTTTTAATTGGCGAAATTGGGTTCAGCCGTCGCGAAGATGAGCTAAGAGGCTCTGGCACAATTTCTCTTGATTACTTTTCAGGGCTCTTATTATTGAGTGGGAAATAGAATTACTATGTCATTGAGCCTGATACTCCCCTGGGAAGTTTTGGTTTCCAAGAATTGAATTAACCCTGCGCTGCAAAAGTGGGAAGGGTTGGTGGATCAGAAATTAAGTGGGTGGTTAAGTAGCGCTATTGTCCTGCTAATATCGCCTGTCTCTGAAAGTAAAGTGCAAACTGGTATTGACATTTAAAGCGAAGCCCGGTAAGCTGTATTTTCGACATAATTAGTTAATTTTTACATTAGGCCAAAGAAATATTTTGGTCAAAATTGATCTGCAATTTTGACCAAAAATCAGAACATTTTACATTGAATAGAATATAACACTTGTGTGTTTTGAGAGGATATAGAGTGGATGGTAAATTTGATTTTGGGTCGTAAAACAAAGGGATTAAAGCAGCGAACAAACAGTTGTCAGTTGGTACTAGCGGGCTCTTCACAAACCACAGTTCCACTTCTCTTGTCTTTTCAAATGGCCACTGCAGTCTGCGGCAAGAAAGAGGGAGGGGTACTAGTGAACTATTGAGGCCCTAAATCAGTGAAGGTGACGTGTGATAAGAGATTGAACATGGAAAGAATATGTGGGACGAAGTTGGCTGGGAATTAAAAAGAAGCTGCAGCCTGTCCTCGTGGTGTCTAGATAGCGTCGTGAGGGGGTTGGTAAATGAAGGTAATCTAGGTGGAAAGAGGACTGGAACTTTTTTGGGGTTTGATAGAAAAAGGGAAATGAGTTGGAAGGAAATGATGGTAGAAATGAGATAGGCAATCTAAACTTTAAATCGACACCCTGATCACCCGAGATTGAAAAAGTAGAAAATTGTATTTTTAATCCTCACTAATTTAATTATCTAAATTAAATAAAATTTCTTCTCGAAGCCACGAGGAAAACTTGTTTTCTTTCGCAAAAAAACTGCATTTTATAATTTTTGTGATATAACAATTTTTTTGATGATTTGGAGAATTTTTTAATGAATATTTTTTTTTGACTTCGGTAGATCTTAAAAATAGCGCAGACTTGAAAAAGATTTGGTGTAGTGATCAATTTTTGTTCGTTTTGGCAATGCTTGAGTTTTATAAAGTCTTCTGGATAGAAATTGTCTGAGTTTTTATGATAATTTAAGCGTAAAATTAGATTTGAAAAACGAACTATCTTTTGCTAGGTTTCATTCATGATAGTAAATCAAATTAAATAATGTGTACCGGATACGCACCAGGAGAGAATTTCAGACATCTTTTTGTGTTTCGCTCATCAAAACTCGCCAGTGGGAAGGAGAACATCCGTTCGGAAGGAAGGGTAAGATAAAACATTGCGGGGTCTTTGATCGGGCTAAAAGGGGAAACAGCTTGAAAGAGCAATCGAGAGTGTTATACACTCAATAATTTTCTTTTTCAAAGACTGCTGCCAAAAGACTGATTGTAATCATCTATTTGGTCTTCAGAAAAAGAAAGTGGACGAGAACTGATCGAAGTTGAGACCAGAAAGATAAGGAATTTTTGGACGCAGGTTTAATTTTTTATCGCCACAGAGTAGATTGAACTGAACTGGATTGCTTTGTGTCTGGAGGCGGAAATATTTAGAGAAATTAATTGAGACGGATTTACATCTTGTTTTGCCCGAGTTGCCCCTTTCATTTTTTCCCTGGGGCGCCAATTTGGAAACCAGAACGCGTAAAATAAATTGTCGCAATAAATCACTTTTCAATTTAATTTTCCTAACGGCGCCTGGACTTTTTTTCCCTGAAAATTAGATTGGGATGAACTAGCGGGAATTTAGAGATTAAATCCTTGGAGACGTGAAAAATTCAGCTACATAGTGCCGTTGGTTGTAATTCGTTTAGCAGTCAATATATTTTTTGTTTTCTTGCAAGGCGTACTTGAAGCAGCTTTTCTTCAAAATTTTACCATCTATTTAAATTTTTCCAAACCGCCTTTGGTTTATACTACTCATGCGAGTTTTTTCAAGTTTTTGTTCAATTTTATAATCAATTATCTTAGAGTTTAAGTCTTATAATCTTGAGATGAACAACTTCCAAAACATTTTTAAAATTTATTTTCGACTACCAACGAAGAAATCAATGAAACTGATGTTTGTTGTAGTCAGGAATATTTGGTACTTTGGCGTTGTAAATTTGTCGTTTGATGTTCGAAATATGGATTTATAAAATTTAACTTAAGCGGTTCAGCTGGTCTTATAATCAACTCTTCTGTATCGTCAGATTTTCCTAAATTTCAGACAGCTTTGAGGTATATTGAAATTACAAGTGAAACAGATCTCTACAAATTTGGAATTTGTTTCAAATTAGACTCAATGTTTGTTTCCTGTGCGCTCTATGATATCAAATTCAGGTTAAAAACAGATCAAAACTGAAAGGAGAGTCAATTCTAAATCCAGGAAGACTTACCGCTTTGTGAAGAGCGGTAACTAAGACGGGGGTTGTTTATCAAAATCAAAGTTCTAATACTTGTAAAAGCGCCTCTGTATTAAGTTGTTTGCCCCACTATAAACTGCATTAGTCTAATTGAGACCTGGTTTTATTCCGAAGTTGGCTCAACTTCAGGGTATATTCTGAAGACACTTAAGTAATTTATTACCAGTGTCGCTTGATAATTCGTTTCTTGGAATTAACAATTTTATTGAAGATGGCAATCTTGCTGCTTTTTTCTCATAAAATTTCAAAAATATTACTTGGACCTCTTGTTGCTGAATTTGACAAATACTGTAATGACCATTTAGAAATTTGATTTGAAAGAAAGTTTTCATATGAAGACTTGTTTGTAAAAAAGGAATTGTTCAAAGTATTGGCTCTAGAACACAAATTTCTTTAATTTGAAAACAAATCAATCTGTTAAAGGTTATTTTTACAGCTGGACCAAATTGCATATAGTTATGGAAGGCATTTAGTTCAATGATCGCAAGCAATAGTCTTTCTGTCAATCAAATCAACTTCATTTTTAAGTAAAAATATTATATTCGAAGTCAGGTAAAGTTCGACCACCCCTGAAATAATAAATGTCTGTCTTAAAATCGCTTCTGGTTGCATGAACAAACTAACTAAGATCCTGCTTTGTTTAAGTATCGTATAAACAGCCAATTATATCCAGTTACTGTAAAATGAACAGAAGGCGGAGGTTTTCTCGAAGGTTGTTGAGTTGATTGTTTTCTTTTTGTTAAAAAAAGTCGGGTTTCAAAATTTATCTCTAAATTCCCTTTTAAAGAAATCTTTTTTCTTAACTTCAAAACAGTTTTTGGATTTATTTAAAATAGTTTCCTGTCATATGAGTGTGGGTTTTATCGATTTTTCGAAACATCGTAAATTAACCAAGGTCTTGAAAATTGCTTTGATTGGCTGCCATATGACGTATATATGAATATGCGGTCACTTTTTAATGGCCAATGAACAAAGTGAAGACAGTCATTGAGTTCGTGTTTTTTTCAGGAAAAATTAAAAAGGTTCACTCAAATTTGATTCTTAGCGGTTTGAATCCAGATTATTTTAAGTGCAATCAAATTCATTTGGTTACTGAATTTATTGCTACCTGCTATTAATTGAAAGGCATATGAGTAGGCTTTACCCAAATTTCGTGCAGTAATTAGGGTAAAGCCTACTTTAATCGAGAATGTTTGGATCACTTCGTGGTGTTCTTAGGCTTTTTAATAGTTTAACGAATTATACAAACAGCAGTTTTTTTATTCAAACCGCTGTTTTGCAAATATACAAACCTCGGTTGTGCAAATTAGACCAAATATCCAGGGTTTCAATGCCGTTTTATTGCAATTTCTTTAACAAAAAGGATGTCCTATTGTAGCAAATGCTTTTTTAAATCAACAGAAAGTAATTATTTTTTGCCTGCTACTTGACTGCCTCTTTTCAGTTAAGTTAATAAATGCGTTAATCATACTATGCTGTGATCGAAAACCAAATTGTCTGCAATAAATCAAGAAATTCTTTCAAGATAAATGTATACTTTAGTGAACATGGTTCTTTCAAAAATTGTACCTTAGACGATTACAAGTCATATTGGTCGGTAAGTTTTTTTCCATCAACTCTAGATCCACTTTTGTAGCATTCCCGCATTGGGGCAACAAGGTCGGTGCCCATTGCTCAGAAAAAACCTTCAGCAGCATCAAATGCTGACAAAGTTTTGCGTTGTTGCTGACAGGATTCCAGTATTGATGCATCGGTATCTTTCATATTTTTCTGCTTAGATCTTTAAGTAGTTCAAAGTTTTGTCTTGAGTCTCCTATACATGCAGAAAATTTTTTATGATAGTATTTTTGTTTTCCCACTTTATTTTTTTTCAACTTAACTAGCAATCATTTGAATGTTTTCAAGTAAAAGCGGACTGTTCGGTTTATAGGGCTGTACGATGAGCTTTGTTTCTCTTGTTTCTTAAGTCTTTAAATGCGTTGCTGAACCATTTTGGTTTTTTGAACTCGATTTTATGTAATAATTTTAATGGAAACTGCACCAAAGTTGTTGATTGATAGATAAGAGTTAGAAATATAACAAATCGCGACTTCTTTTCTTTTAGTTGTGTTTGCAAGTCGCTAATATGCCTGGCAGATGCTTATTTTTCTTTAAAAAATAGTAGGTCACGGAAAATTTAATTCTTTCCGTTTTTTATTAAGCTAGGCGGATTCCGTTGCAGTAGGATCGGATAATGATCAGAGAATTTTAGGTATTTTAAAACCTGATGATCAGTTTCAGTTAAGTTTAGGCTAAAGATGGTGAGTTGTTTTCTTTCAAACGAAGAAAACGAGAAAACGAAGAGTGTGTATTCTAGCAGGGTTGTACTTCACGACTATTTTAAATATGTAGTTATCTTTTAAAGTTTTGCTACAACGGATTCCTCCATTCTGAGGGTTTGTTTATAAAAAGGTAAAAACAGCTCATTTTTTTATCATAAACACCTCCACGGGTTTTCCGATGGTATGTTGTAAACTTGTTATAGCTGTCATCGAGACAGCATTAACAATCATCATTTTTTGTTTACCAAGTTTCTGATGTGCATCAAATGGAAAGAGGAGACTCAAGACAGTATACTAGGGCTTTCAGTTCATTAAGATGACATTTCAGAGAGCGAACATTTATGTAACACAGAAGTTTTGATGTTCGGGGGAGGCCTACGGTTGGTAGAAAACACCAGTAAAGCAACTCATAACATCGTCAAAACTATAATCAAGTACATGACCGCTTGCTTTCATGGAACCCGTTTTTATATCTAATTGTCAGTTTTGTATTGGAAGAAAATTTTTTTCTCTAGACCAAGCCGACGCAATGCTTTGATCAGTTTTCATCAGTTTAAGGAAGCGGTTTGAGTAATTTTGATTGGTTGAAAAATGATGACTATCTCTGAAAAGTTGGAACTCCTTGGTTTTACATTGGGTCTTAAATTGGTTGTTTTGTTAGCGTTTTTATGATATCTGGATTCGCGTAAAGTAGTCGCGTTGGAGCTTTAAGATTAAATGGTCGGCGAAAAAAATATTGAAATTGATTGTACTAGGCCAGCCGCCGGATACTCAAGTCGGTTAATGGCGTTGTCTAATGAGGCGGTTTATATGTTCATCTCTTATAGGCTTATACCTTCATTTTAATGTTTTTACAGAAGACGATTTCTTTGCCCCTCGGAAGAGAAAAAGACCAAATGCCACTGCATACTTGGAGGACCCAGGATTCGATCTTATAGATGATCTAGAGGCACCTATCAAAACTAAAAGGGAGAAGAAGTCAAAAGCCGAAAAGAAGTCAAAAGCCGAAAAGAAATCATTAGCTAAGAAAGACAAGTCTAACAAAGCTGCAAAAGAAGCACCCGCTAAAGAAATCGAAGCTGAGAAGTGAGACATTTTTGAAGTAGCTTATACCTTTGCTCTGACATTTTTTAAAACGAATTTGTAGATGGCCCATTGCATAAAAAGTAACTTTTACCAGAAGGTACCAGGGATTTATCGAAAGCAGCCGTGGCCGAGTGGGTCAGGCACACGTGTTTCTACACGAGGGTCATGCGTACGAATCCAATTTCGGTCACGGTTAGAGGTTCACAGAGTCATCCGCCTCCTCAAGGTGGGACCGGCGGCGGCAAAATGGATGACATCTTTCTCAACAACGGTCGATCCTGCACTGAGCACGACCGAAGGCTAAAAAATTTTTTTTTAAAACAGATTTTTTCTTTTTTTTCGGGACGAGCTACGCATTAATATTTACTTTTTTATTTACTTATTAGTTTGGTGTCGTATTTGTGGATTTACCCAATACAGCCAGCCAGCACACAAAATTTTAATTCATTGAAGTAGTTTTGAGTTCAGACAGATGTCAGATGCTGGAGTCCTGGACATTCCGGAATGTTCAGTTGAGTCCCCCTTTGAAAACCTTCTGAAAGAGAAGAAAAAAGCCAGACAAAAGAAAGAAGTTTCGAAAAAGAAAAAATCGAAAGACAAATCTTTTGCACTTGCAAGTGATGATGATACCGTTGCAATTGAAGCTTTGATTTTGAAAAATGAAAAGATTGTCAGCGACGGAGAGAAGAGTGGCAGTCAACCTAGCTTGTCAGATACGCTCATTGCTTCTGAATCGCAAGGTATGTACGTGTAAACAGCATGAACCTACATGAAGAAGTAATTCAAATCAAGTTTGAGACAAAAGAGTATTCAAGACAACCTTGCTAGCGTTTATCAAGAAACTGTTGCGTAATAATATGAATATTGTCAAGGTCAGCCATTTGCTCACTCCTATTCAACAGGTAAATAATTCTTAAGTCGTGATTTATGTACAAGTTGACATATGTTTGTTCTTTCCGTTCTTGAGATTGCTGTAAAGTTCTGGATATATCTTTTTCTTATGACATAGTTTTGGTTTGTTTTTGAACGTAAATAAAATATCCAGCTCCAAAAACAGCATGAATGGTTCTGATATGATGGGTTGTTTTTCATTGTTTTTCCGAGCTCATTCAAAGAATAAACCATCTTTAACTAAAAGATTTAGCGCTAAAATTTTGTCTCGTTTTTCGGCGTTTCCCCCACTAAATTCATATTTATCAGGCCACCGCCCCGTCTTATTAAACAACGCTATTAAGAGTAATGAACGTAGTGAGTGATGTTTTTTTTAAGGAAAAGTCTTAAAATTTGATCACGCTCAATTTTGATTTTTTTTGCGATTTGTCTTTTGATTTCCTTTTAGGTTCAGTGCTTTTCAATTTTTAAAAGAAAGGCAAACTCGACTACCGAACAGCAAAATCTAAAGGTCTCAAAAACGTGATCGACTTCTAATTTCGAAAACGGAATTAAATTATCAGATTTCGCAGCGAAATGAAAATTGTACTTATTGATTAAGTTTTCATAAATTGGATCAGTTTTATCGGAAAAGTGCTAGTTATGATTTGTTCTAGAAGTTCGAAAAGCTTTAAGGGCATCTACTTTTTTCTTTGAAATTCGATAATTGAGATTTTTGGTTTCTTGCGTGCATTCTCTACTACAGCTGTCAATTGACTATTTTTGCTAGTTCAATAAAAATTTAACAAAAAATTAAATATCCATTTTTGATTGAAAGTCAGGATGTAGATAGATACGCAGGCAGTTTAGAACAATTCGAAAATTGTTTGGAATGAGTTAAACACTAAAGAATTTATGTGATGAATGTTGTGATCAATTTATTTTTAATAGAATACTAGCTAGCCCGTCACCAATGATTAATCAGCTCGCAACAATATATTTAATGTTCTGAGCAAGCTATTCAAGCCATGAAACTACGAAAAATTATCATAAATTGGTTTAAAACTAATAACGCTCATAGATCGAATCAGGTCGCAAGAGGTTTCAGTTTTCCGAAGCAAGTTATTGAAGCTATGAAATTTGAAAACATTTCAGGTTATTTCATGAGTCAAATCCGATGGCCCAAAATTGAAAAGTTGCTAAGCAAGCTATTCCAGACATTAAACTTTGAAAGATAAAATATTTCATGCAGCGAATCAGATGACAAAAGGTTTCATCATGTCTATTGAAGCCATACCAGTGATGAAAATTCAAATGTTTCAATTAATTTTATAGACCGAATACGTTTGCGATAACTTTAAGACTTTCTGAGCAAGCTCCTCTGGATACAAAACTTTAAAATAATTCAATTCATATCATGGAGCAAATCAGTTAGTGAAAGTTTTTCAAGCAAGCTAGTCATTCGATGAAACTTTGAATTATTGCAAGTTATTTCATTGACCGAATCAGATCGCGATATGTTCAAGATTTTTTGAGCAAGCTATTCCAGCCATGAGATCTTGAAATATTTAGTAATTTTTGAAGCAAATTGGACAGCGAATTTTTTTTAAGCGAGCTGTTCCAGCTAAAGACATTTTAGGTGAGAAATGTTTCGTTATTCTCAGACCGAGTCGTTTTGCGAGAGCTTAAGTTTTTTGATTGAAGCCCAGCAAGCTATGATTGAAACTTTTCAAATTTTTGAGGTAATCGGATTCAAGAAGCTATGTTCTCTAAGCAAGCTTTCAATATTGAAACTTAGGAAATATTTCAAGGAAATTCTTGAAACGAGTTGGATAGCGAAAAGCTTAGATTTTTCTAAGCAAACTTTTTCAAGTATAAAATCTTGAAATGTTAGAGCTTATTTCATGAAGCGAATCGGATGGTGAAAAGCTCAAGTTTTCCTATTGAAGCCATTCATGCAATGAAGCTTTGAAATTTTTCAACTTATTTTCTTAGTTTCCATGTTTTTGTAGGCAAACTATTCAATTTATGACCCTTTGAAATACTTCATGTTGATTCATAAAGCAAAACGGATGGCGAAAGTTCAAGTTTTTTTAAACAATCTATTCAAGCTATGCAATATTTCAAGTTATTTCTTGAAGAGAATCGGATGGCTAAATCGGAGTGTTTATATTGAAGCCATTCAAGCTATGACACTTTAAAATATTACAACTTTACACCAAATCGCTTGGCGAAAATTTTGAGATTTTCTAAGCAAGCTATTCAATTTATGAAACTTCGAAATATTTCAAGTTACTTCACTGACCGAATCAGTTCGCAAAAGTTAAAATTTTTCTGATCAAGCTATTCATGCGATGAAACTTTGAATTATTTCAAGTTATCAGAGAGCAAATTTATTGGCGAAACTTGTATCTTTCTCTAAGCAAATTATTCAAAGCGATGAAAGTATGAAATTTTTTAAGTTAATTCATAGCGCAAATCGGTTTGCAAAAAGCTATTTTTTCTAAGCAAGGAGGTTGCTGTTTTTATTTAGCTAGTTTCAGATTAAAATCAATCTGTAAAGACACATTTTTGAAAAAAAAATGGACAGGCACTGTCTAGCCTTGCAAAAGACTCAAGTTTATCTTGTCTAAAGAATTTTTGAAAGTTCTAGAATATTATTGGCCTTCTCTAGACGTTGAGCCTAAAGAGTTTTTAAACGTTGCATTATTCAAAGCTTAAAGATTGCGTTCAGTTAAACATTGCTTGCATAAAGCAATCCAACTTTCATTTGATCTTTTGTCACGCCGTTAATCTTCATGAGGTGACTCTTTTGATTTGAGTACTTATCCGTCACAGTGTGTTTTTGTAAAGTACTGCATCAGGGTTGCGCGCCACTTGAAGCTTTCTTCGCAAAATTCACATTTATATTTGTTGTCCTTCGCTGATTTCGGTAAGTTACTTCGATCGTCCACCAAGCTCTGATTAATTAGAATCATCGCTGCTTGATGGCGATCGTCTTCGCTTCCGTATACTGATTGGGTTGTCGATTTGATTCCGTAGATGTTGGCTGGGGAATACTGTTCTAAGAAAGTCGATTTCGGGGCTCTCACTAATCGTTCTCTGCTACATGCCTGGAGCTTCTGGTTTTGATCTTCCTCCCTCGTGAATAAGAGGTAAGTCTTGCTGGGAATTGGTTGCTGATGGTGTGCTTCCTCGAGATGCTTGCGCTTTTCAATGAAGTACTTATTGTTGCACCAGACTGCGCATTCTTTGCACTGGAGGAAAGAGTGCACTTTCTTCCCTTGGTGCTTTTGGGTGACACCTTTCCATCGCCGCACTGAAAGCTCCGTCTCCTGTCTGTTTCTCCTCCTTCGGTTCCTGCTGTCCTCATAAATCGTCATGCTTCTGGGTTCTTCCTTTCTCGGTTCCCCCTTTTCCCCCATCTCGTCATGCTTTTCGGTTCCTCCCGTCTGTTCCTCCTGTATCGGTTCCTCCTGTCCCCCAACTCGTCATGCTTCTTGGTTCCGCCTGTCCCCCCGACTCGTCATGCTTCTCGGTTTTTCCTGTCTGTTTCTCCTGTGTCGGTTCCTCCTGTACCCCCAACTCGTCGTGTTCCTCCTGTCAACTGTTCCTCCTGTCTCTCTGGTTCCTCCTGTCTCTCTGGTTCCTCCTGTCTCTCTGGTTCCTCCTGTCTGTCTGGTTTCTCCTGTCTGTCTGGTTCCTCCTGTCTGTCTGGCTCCTCCTGTGTGGAGTCATCTTTCTTATGGAGAGCGAAATCATAGGTATCATAGTTTTGCGGTAGCTCGACTGGTTTTTGGTCGGGCTTCCGAGTCTTTTTCACTGTTGGAAAGACCCTCCGCTCGGTACTCCGCTTCTGCTTCAAGAGGGCTGCGATCCACTTCTGACAATTCGAATTGCGACACTGGCCGTTCTTATGATGCTTCCGAGTCCTTTTCACTGATGGCAAGACCGGTGCTTGGACCTCCGCTACTGCATCAAGCGGGCTGCAGTCCCTTTCTGACAAATTGGGTAGCAACCCTAGCGGCAATGGCATTGGTATCTTGATGTCGGGCAATTGCGCCTCTCCATGGTGCTAACGTGTCCCCGTAATCGTAGCAGAGCTCCTGGTCTTTAGGCACCTCTCTGCTGGATTTGAAGACAATATGGCTCAAGCCGTTGTGGTAGATCCGCCTCAAAATTACGTTCGGATCCACATGGTTTTCGTTCATATAACGAGCATTCCCACGGTTGAGTGGGTCACTGGCATCAACGAACAGATTATGGCCGTCAGTGAAACAGTACGCATTCTTCCCTGCTGCTTTCAGTTTTTCGCTATCATTTTTCAGCAACGGTTTTCCCCAGTAGGCACACATGAATTCTCCTGCCTCTAGATTCCTCCTCGCGAAAAGCCATTGTCCTCTATCTTCCGCGTCCGCCACATAAATAGTCTTGTCGTCATCAGAATGCAGGAACTATCTCGCCCCAGAATCGAAGCTATATCTTCCGAAACGAGTTCGAAGGGCCTGAAGTAAGGTTGTTTTTAAGAGTATGGTTGTTTGCGAATAAATTACACAGAAAGATACACAGCTTTTTCTAACATCTACCTTTAATTGTGGAAATAGGGGATTTAATTTAGTTAATTGTGATCTTCAGGCAAAAATCTTTAGGCAAAGCGCTAAATTGCGTTTTCACAACAATTAATTTGAATTTGAGTCATAAAAGCTGGCCATAAATGAATTAACACGTTCAGGTTAAAATATTATCATTCGATTTTTAATTAGATTCTTCTGTACATTCTTTCAATTCTTTATTACATCAAAACATCGAAAGAAAAAACTAACTGCGACACAATTGAGCTTCGTGACATGGTATTTAATGTTCAGGTCTGCTGCTGCTGTCGATTTTACTGACACTTTGTTCTCTCGGTGGGGGGAGGAGGCTGTTCAACTTTGGAGTAACTCTCCGTTCTCCGAGATAATAGTTTTCTTCGGATCTGCACTCTCGGGGGCATGGAGGAGGCTGTTCAACTTAAGGTTTTTACCACTTCATCTGTGTGACGTTTCGCAAATATAATAGTTTCTTTCGGATCAGACTTCGGATCTTGTGAAACGACGTGGTCCATCGGTTCACTTTTTCCCTCCATATTAACCTCTTTTCCTGCTTGTTCATCGTGTACTTCGCAATTAGCCATCGCTGAGTGGTAATTTAGTTCATTCGTTCATAGCTTTCTCTTCATACACTGCAAGGGCGCTTCCCTTGCGGCATGTTGTCCATTACATTCGCAGAGCACTTGGGACAACCTAACCCAGCTCATCAAAGCGGCCGCAAAATGTGTGGTCTGGTGGCTTGTGAGAAGTACATGGACAAAATTCCAGAAATGAAGCGCCTTTGTACCTTCATGTTCTACAGGGAACTCCACAGAACAGCACAATACTATACTAAAACTACCTAATACTAAACTTCGCTAACTTTCTTTATCGGTTTTACTTTAAGTTGATACTAGCAAGCGCGCCTCCAATAATCGATTGGCTAGCAAAAATTTAGATGTTCTGATCAAGCTATCCAAGCAATGAAACATTGAACAATTTTAGTTTGAGCCATATTGTAAATCGTTTTGAAAAACGTCAAGTTTTATAGAACGAATCGGTTCCCGAAAAGTTGAAGTTTTTCTAAGCAACCTATTGAAGGTATGAAACTTCAGAATATTTCAAAATAATTCATGAAGCAAATCGGATGGCAAAATTTAGGCATAATTTTTTGACGAATAGTCGCTGTTGTTTTAGAGTCATTGAATTTAAGCGCGGCTTCATGCGACGAAAATAACTCTCCACTTGGAAATCAACGAAGGGACCAATTTTTGATCAATCGAGGAAGGCTCAAAATGCCGGAGGAAAAGGAATCAAACCTGAAAACAATGATTGATAAAACATCGGGGGCTTCAAGCGGTTTGACATTAATGACCGAAAACTTGGACATAGGATCATCTAGTTCTAAAGTATCCAGCTTAGTGGGACTGGAAACACCTGAGCTGCGCTGTGACTATTCAGATAAAGTACCTAGTTAGTACTTTTAATTAGTAGTCATTTTCTATATTATACCGCCGAGCCGAATTGGACTCGGACAGAAGCAACCCTCAAATATGACTAAAGTAAAATTGAATTGAAATTGGTTACACGATGGAAGTTTAAAATCTATTGATTGAAGTTATAAAAGAGCGAAGTTGTACGCTCAGTTTCTGGAAGTCGTTGATTCTTAATTCAATCAGAGCTTAACTTGATCACTAAGCTGATATTGGTTTACTTTCAGTGGCGCTATAAAATGTCCTTAGTTGTTCAAGACTCGATGTGGCAGTTGTCTCAAACCTTTAAGTAATGAGTTGTTTCAACAATAGTCGGTTATTGTTTACTCGATCGCAACTTATTTTACTAGAGTACTTTTTTCACAAATCGCAAATTTCGTTGCAGTTTTATTGCTGGGTTTATGGGTTCTAAACCCATAACCTATATCAACTTGATTCGAAGGCATTCATTGCTGTATTAGGGAAGGCATTGGAAAATGTCTCACGTAGAATTAGCAGTTTCTTCTAAGTACTTTTTCAGGCGCTCATTTTTACACGAGCGTACCGTAATGTGATATTTCGATGTCACCTTTTTTTCAACCTAAGAAGCCAATAAAAGTGCCACTTTTGGTGGCTCTTTTGAATCGGTAGGCCCTAATAGTAGTATAATCCTAAGTGCTTTGATATTCAATTTTAAATAATCTAACGTAGTTGATGCTCTTTAAATTTATTTTTTGAACCGAAAAAAAAGTTATTGTTTTCATACAATAATATAAAAATTAAAATCTACTATAATATAAAAATTACAATAATATAAAATCTCAATAATATCGAAATTACAATTTTATTTACTGCATGCAAAGTCAGTGTGGTTGCCTTTAGTCTATAACATTCCAAATTTTTACATGCAAAAGTTTTTTGAAGCTCCCGAATCTTTGCCGCTTTCTCGCTCGAGTTTGCGAAGTTGCAGCTTCGCCTCTGTGTCAAAGCTTATTTTTGCAATATATCAATTATTGCACCTGTTTTAGTTTTCGCTTGCGTATTTTCCAATCATATGAATTTTGTAACTGGTAATTACACAAGCAAACACTTGTGTTATACTGCAAATCAATTTTTAACCCAAGTTGCATAAATTAAGGCCACCTTCTCAAAAAAAGTCAGTTTTAATGTCTGTGTAGCTGGAATTTGGTAGGTACCAGTTGATTTATTAGTGACTTCTATTTGGATGACTGCATGGGCATCTAGCTCAGCAGCTCAGGCAATAAAATCCCGAGCTGTAGGCAGTCCATGGCGTAAGTTCGGTTTCCATAAGGGAACAATTTAGTTTTTCCATTTTTCTTTGCGTGTTCTTGCTATTTGAAAGCTCCTATTTGCAATTTTTTGCTTGTTTGCGAAGTGCTGCTTCGCATCTGTATTATCTTAAGGAACAGGTCTTTCATTCAATATTTTGGTCTCGGCGTTAGTTTTTTCAACTCAAATTCTCTAAAAAACACAAGTTGTTTGCATTTTATGCAAGACAGGTTCAATTTTTCAACCAAGCAATATTCTTTGTCGAACATTGTGTTAAGTTAGTGTGCAATATTAGGTTCTATTATTCTTTGACGCTCAAATTTGCTTTTTCGAAGTTTGATTTTTGCTTTCGTTTAGTTCAAATTTATCTGCTATACGGAAGGCAGGTTAAGCTCTCCAATGACGAAATCGTAATTTCCGTGGAAATGCGAAAGATTCTCAAAATTCAAAGAGCTTAAACGCGTTTTTTTTCAAAATTCGGAAATTGAAAGTGTGCAAAAAAGTCAATCATTTTTCTCGGGTTCCTTTCATTGATAATTTTACACCTGTATGTTGGCTATGTTTATCTATGCGATTACTGGTTGAGGCCAGGGGCGGATCTAGGATTTCCCGACGGGGGGCGGATTTTCAAAAAAAAAATTCAAACATTTTGACGACTTTTTTTTAGGTCGACCAAATTGATTTTTCGAGCTCTCCCAAAGCACTGTTTTGCCCCTATTTTGGCTAAATTAGCTGCGCCGCAGGCAAATTTTTGAAAAACAGTCAAAAAGCCGTTTTTGGGCACTTTTTGAAAAATTTTGACAAAAAAATCGCGATTTTTTGGCGCGCGCTCCCCCTCAAAGTTAGTATATATTGGCGCCTTTAGAATAATTTTACGGGTCGGTCGGCCAAAAATGGATTTCTGAAAAAGTATCAAAGGGGGGACCCTTTGGGTCGGCAGGGGGTCGAATCCCTGAGGGGGGGACGTCCGCTACAAGGCCCCCCCCCCCCCCCCCCCCCTAAATCCACCCCTGGTTGAGGCAATTTGTTTTTATCGGGTTAATCGAGGTTCGTCTTCAGAATTTTGTATATTATCAATTGAAGTTTCCAGCTTATATTTTCTAGTTAAGGAATGCGCTTCAGTCGTTGTTTGTAGCTTGTTTTGGCGAACTATAGTAATTTAGAAGTTTTTGAGCTTTCATGGGTGTTAAGTGTTAGAAAGTTCAAAATTCGAAAAAGTGCGTTCTTGCTCCATTCCTAGCAACTATTTTCGGTCAAACTTGTTCAGGCTTGTTTTGCCTGTCAATTTGATTCTGTGTTTCTTAATTGTTTGTTTCTTGGTTTTGAATTTTTTGACTGGTGCCAAGCGTTCAAGAGTTAAATTGCATGATCCCATTTTGGGAAAACTTGATTTTTTTTTGGTTTTTCGCGGTTTGAATTTTGGTTTCTTTAGTTCAGGTCATTTTGATTGTTAAAAGGAAGACGAATTGCATTATCTAACAGCAAAAGTTAAAAAATCGCGAAAAACGTGAATGAATTCTAGTTTCAAAAATGGGTTTCTAATTTCGTTTTCTGAATTCACAGTGGGATAAAAAATTACCTATTGGTTCAGTAGTACCCACATAGATTAACTTAAAGAAAAAAGCCAATCATAATCAATTCTGTAAATTCAAAAAGCGTTAACGTGTTTAATTTTTTGTGTTTGGTAGTTTTGTGCTAGTAATACAGATAATGTGTTTCAGATTTGTGTTCTAATCGAAGTTTCAATTCAAGCAATACCAGTGAAGATAAGAGTTCATCCTTGTTGTCGAAAAACATCTCGAAGAAGTCGTTCGATCAATTTGGAAGAAGAAACTTCAGACTTGGTCTTTCGAGATCCACAAAAACTCTAACACCACTTCACAAAAACATGAAAATTTCACAATTTTGAGATTTTACAGAAAAACATGCGGTAAAGTTTCTATATGCTGGCAATCAACTGATTCTGGCTGAACGTGTTTTTGCTTGAAATAAATTAGCTACTTAGGTAGATATAAATTTTTTGTTGTTCAGATAATGTTCAGTTTAATTTATTTCCCGGAATATTTTTGTCTTTTGAGCTCGTAGTTGATTCTAGCATTAAATAGTGTTACTGTTGCTGGTGAATATCTTCTACTGTTAGTCCGATTACTGAGCAGAGGTTAAAAAGAAACTTCGTGGCTTCTGCGTTGTACCGTATTTGTAAATTGATTCTTCTGATTCAAACTCATCAGGCCTTGACCTGACAAATTGGGTGAGCTAAAACTACCAAAGGAGAAGATATAAATTTGATTGGCATGCTTAATATGGCCATTGTCCTCAAACAAGACACGCTTTTTGTCTTATATGCCTCAAACGTCCTAATTTATGGCCCATCATTATAATTCACTACGGTCGGCTGAAAATTACATCTTGTTCGGGACAAGCAAATAAACTTCAAAGAAAAGATACTAATTTGAAATCATTACTATCTAGAATAACAGATTAAATCATTAAATAGCAGTTTAAATGATCGAAAGAGTAAGTTGTGAATCATTCAAGAATTTTGTGTTTTTGGGAGGTGGAGTATATGTACGAATGATAATTGCGTTCCACCTAATTGTAGAGCATAAGTTACTGTTTGACAGCACCGCTCTTTGGTATATTGTGATCTAAAAGTCTCCATACCCGAAGACTTACAATGCAAGATTATGAAGATCGCCTTTTTGAAGTTTGAGTGGAATCACGACACCGCAGAGCCAATCAGAAAGTTATTGAAGTCTTCCTTAAACTTTTCATTTGAAGTTTCATCTCAAATTACTGTCGATGAAATTTCAATCGCTTAGTGGTGTCGAAAATTAGACGCCCAAAAGTTGTTAATTCTAGTAGATTAACTTGAAATGTGTAACTTCTCTCTTTGATGAGCAAAAGTTTATCAAGCCAGCTTGCAGAAATTAGTTGACATAAAGTATTGTAATATGCATTTGACGACAACACAGAAAATTGTTTCGTGGGGGCGAAGTGATTCGATTTCTAGTTTTAAAGATTGGCTTTTGATTATCCATTTTGTGTTTATTTTCCTCACTGTCTTTTCAAACGGAATAGTGTTGGTGTCTTTCTGCAAATATTGGAAGGCTTTAATCGGTAAGTTAATTAATTCAAATATAATTCTGATTCAAGGAATAAACAAGCATTCGTTATTTCAATATTACGGATAATTTGACTCTACGACTATAACCAAGTTACACCAATCCTTGACAAAAAATTGAGTTTCAAATTGTCTGCTAAAAATGTTCGCGCTAGAAACCCAAATTTTTCCAAAATCGCTTTCTAAACTTGAGGTTTTCTAGAAGTTACAAAAATGGGCTGTGGGTAGAATGAAGCATTACTACAGAAAATTAATGTTTTCAAGAAACATACCAGAAATTAAAATAAACGTATAAACCACCTGTGAAAGTGATCATTTTTGGCAGGTAAACCGACGTTGAAAACAAATGCCTTCATTTTCAATCTGGCTCTGTTCGACTTCCTAATTGGGACTATCACGTGGCCAATGTCTGTTGTGTTCAAATTGGATTCAAACCAGTGGATTGTGGAGTCAGTCTTCTGTGACATCTGGACATGTCTGGACTACATTCTAACTCGTGGTTCCGTACTCAATGTGGCGATGTTGGCACTGGATAGATACCTGGGAATGAAGATGACGTCACAGTACACAGTTCCCTACCAGACTAGAAACAAAGTGATACTAGGAATGATTTTGTTCACGTGGATACTCCCGATTGTTGTTTTTCTACCTGCAAATGGAATTACTGCGCTGAGTCATACACATGAGCAAGGTACGATCCATCCTGTAATCATTTCACGTTATTCAAGTCTAATAATTGAATCTTCTGAAGCATACTTTAGCTCAGATGGCTATGTGAAGGCGGCTGCATAACTTAGCTTGTCACTTGCTTGCTAGTTCAAATTTTCGACCACTTTTGAATAATGGCAGGAAATATGGTCTAGTTTTGATCCCCAAAAGTTTCATGTTTTTGAGACTGGTCGGAAGAACTGTTTGCTTTTTTCTAACCCCACTAGTACATTCTGTTTCCATCTATCTGTATAATAATCGAATGACATGTTTTGAAATCAAAGGAAATTTTGAAATCGAAGAACAGAATTATTGCTCTGAAATACATAAAACTATATAACTTTCAAAGTTTCATCGCTTCATGAGCTTGCTTGAGAAAGCTTCAATTTTTGTGAACCGTTTTGAGCTATCAAAAAGTTCAACGTTTCATAGCTTTATGAGGAAAAAATGTTTTTAAATAATTTGAAAATATTTCCACAAGAATATTGAAATTTTTTTTTTAGAAAACTTAGGAATTTTTTATTCAAGGAAAACTGTTGTCGAATATCCCCAACTTATTGTTCGCTTGCCCAGCAGGCTTTCAGATCCTCCGTTCACACCACAACAAAAATAAATGACTCAAATTGAAAAAAAAAATGTTTTTTTTTTGGCGGGAACTTCGTGCTACTTGCACAGCCACCGGCTATCCTTGTTTTTACACTTGCGATAAACAAGGGTGTTGTTATCTGTTGCTAGGATTTGTTTTCAAGTAAATAACTTTGTTAACTGGTTGACTGAAATTGGTGGTCATCTCCATCTTACTTTCGTAATCGAATAGACAATTTTAAACATGTCTGCATTTTAAGTGCCCATTCAAATGTGTTTTTTTTGTCTGATGGTTTTAGGTTTACCAACTGCGATTTCAGTGAATCAATTTTTTGTTCAATTACTACAATTTCATTAGTACAAGTTACTCAAGTTCAATTATTACTGGTCATATAGGCAATTTTGATGAGCCTAGGGTACCATATAGGCGATTTTTATGATGCTAGGGGACCTGAAACTTCAAAAAAAAATTACAAAATTAGTTTTCGGCTCAACTGGTGTCTGCTCAAAGATTGTCGGCCTTGTTTCCGCTTCGTAAATTTTGTTCTATTGCTAATAATTGTCTCTCTTTGCATGTTTGCCTTAATTTCCTGTTTGATAAAAACAGGCATTGTGAAAATGTATGGGATTGGGTTTTTAATTATTTTTTTTTGAGAAGCTTTGGAAAATTTTACCACTTTCGCAAAAAATTTAGCCTCTTTTCGTAAAAATCTTCTACTGATTTTCAAAAAAGGGATATCGATAGCAAGATCTTTTACGTTCTTCCATGTGTGCTTGCATATTCCCCTGGTCTCATTTTCTTTTACCCCTTTGTCTACAGCCTTCGAAAAAGTCTGAGCGGGGAATATTTGACGATATTTTTTCTTCTTTCGTTATTTCAAAAACTAACCAACCAAATCGAAGATTTTGGTTTAATTGAAAAGAACGGATTTGAAAAACTCCCCTCTATGGGCAGCTACGCCCAAACTCATTTGACACATAAAATTATGGGCCTCGGAATAGTGAAATTTTGATTTTTTTTAACCTTTTTTTTCTATATTTTATGAATTTTACCAAAAAAACCATCGCATATCTGAGGCTTTGGGTCAAAGAACGGATTCTGGGAAGCTCTTTTGCACATGCGACTCAGCACAATTTTTTTTGACAAAAATGATGGCCCTTGGAAAAGTCAAAAACTTGATTTTTTTTACCGTTTTTTGAAACTTTTTGAATTTTCTCGAGAACTGCTCGGCCAAACCTGGCTTTTCGAGTTCAATCGAAATTATAAGTTGGGCGAATTTCTTCTGCATAGTAGTTTTGGTCAAATTTTTTTTTATCAAAAAGCTATGATTCTCGGAAATGTTAACTTTCTGATTTGTTGACCTTTTTTGGACTTTTCGCGATAACTATCCTGCCAAATCTGATATTATAGGTTTAAACGACACAACAGATTGTTGAAAGCTTATCTTTTTATCTTTCTACGTCCAGATTCTAAAAGAAAAAGTTGTGGCCTTCAAACAAATGAAGGTTTTGAAACAGTTTTTTTGGAAGTTTTTATTGCCTTACTCGAAAAACACTGCGCCAATTCTCTGGCTAATTGCTCAATCGAGAAACCCGATTTTGAGAATTTTCTCTTACTTACCGGCCACGCCTTGTTTGTGTTAAATTCTTCGGAAAATCAAGTTGTTGAACTTCGATCGTTTTTTGGAAACTTTTTCGGTTTTTCCCTATCAATTCTGAGATGAAAAGTTGAATCGAAAGAAGCGGTTGCCCGATTTTTTCCTGCAGATGTGGACACTCTTCAATTTATTGTAAAAAATGTAATATTGTATAGTACATATGTTTTGAGGTTTTCTTTCAATTGTTTGTGGAACAAACAGTTTTACCTAAATGTTTTGAAGGGAACTTAAAACTTTTTTTGAGTTTCAAATTTGTCGACTATTTTTTCTGCTCTAGAATTGTCGGCTTTGTTTTTGTTTTTCTAAGTTTTTCTATGTAGATGCTTATTTAATTTTCAATTATCTTATTTCTTGACATATTTTCTTGAAAGTCAAAACAAAATCAATACGATGATTTTTTGTACAATTTTTTCGAAGTTTTTTTTGTCTAAGGCTTTGATCTCTATTTTTGTCGGTTATTTTGTTTTGCTGTGTATGTGTTGTATCGCAAGTAGTGCGAAACTTCGCTTCGCCTCTGTGGATTTCTGCTTTTTTTTCAGATGTTGAATTTAAAGAGCTCTTAAAAAATAAAATTGTTGCTTGATATTGTCATGTGCATGAGATAGCAATGTTATATTGCAATCTTTAAAATTAACTCAGTCTCTGTCTGTTGTGGAGCAATTTTCACCATACCCAAGCTAATGATACCTTCTCAACAGCTTGCTTCCAATCTACCCGAAAAAAATCTCTGTTTTAACAATCGTGGTCGGAATAATCTGTCTTGGATAGCCTTAGTTACAAATGAAAGGATTTTAGTATGATACCCGCTCGATCCATAGACTACTTTACCGTGAAATCTATGTAACTATAAATGGAATAATCCCCCCACCAATAAGAGTATATGGTCGGAACAATAACGAAGGGCTACGACTGGTTCCCGCTCTTTCTAAATCTGTTATGAATGCCCAAAAAGTAAAGTTCTGTAAATGCTTTTAGTTTTGTAATAGTCAGATAGAGGTTGATGACTAACTCATAGAGTAGCTTATGATAAGTTGAACTGTCTGTTCGTCGTTTCAAATTTTTGGCAGGGTAGGTTGTGCAACTCCGTAGTCGAATACCGATATATGTCCTGTTCTTCTCATTTCCTTAGTCTCAAAATATTTAGAGAAATAGTGAAAAAGATGAGGTGATGTTATGGAGAGATCAACTTTATTTTACTCTGTCTAAGCTCGTCTTTCATGATTGGTTGACAATAAATACCTTACAATCTAAGATTTAAGTTTCAAAATTATTTAAAGCGAGAAGCGGGAATATAAATGAAACTCCGAGTTATTTGCAACCGCTTCAAATGCGCCAACAACGACGGGCTCTACTGCTTGAGAAAACGGCACCGTTCATTGTCGACTGACTGAAAAAATGGTTGGGCTCAAACTGCACTTCCATTTGTCAAAAATGGAGTCTGTTTCTGCAATGAATTTAATACATTCTTTACACTTGCGAAAGCAAAAGATTTGTAATCGGGAACTTGATTTTTTCCCTCAAACATCTGAAATCAGGTAGTGTTCAGAGTAGTTTTAATCCTTATTAAAATGAACATAAAAAACTAATCTGCAGATAAAAATAGAACAGAAAAAAATTTCAATCTAGTTTAGTAAAACGAATTCACGTTCAAACACCAACATTTCTGGTTGCAGTCAATTTGCTACTGGATATAGTTAATTTGAAGAAGTTTAAGAACAGAATTGTGCCTAATCGGAGGAAAAAATGACATATATGAAGCTAATTGGTTAACGGTAAATTTCAAAAATCAGATCTGCCAACTATATAAAATCTGACGATATAACCAAGAAAGGAAAAATGGTCAGCAGACAATTAATCCTAATTTTTGATTAAAACCAAACAGAGCCACTATGAGGCCAAACTCTGCAAAATCTAGAGACAAATCTTAAAGCACGTTAAAAAATTTTGTCTGAACGATCAATAAAATCGAAAAATTAAAGGAAGACAAATAGAGCGCCCTTGTTGTTGGATGCGCTTACAATTCACAAAATACACAGTTTGGTCTCGTAACGGCATTTGGTAGAAAAGATTAGTAAGGCCTACAACTCGCTTTTGCCAGGGTTGGGAATCAGAATCGAAGTTATGGCTTCTTCTTCAAATAAACCTGATTATCTTTGACGCCAGTCAAAATAATGGGTATTTCATAACAATTCAATTCTGATTTATTAGCTGTTAAAACTTGTGGAATAAATAGGACCGCTCTTTTTTGCTTACTACTAAAGAGAGGGGAAGGTCTACATTTATTTTTCAAATCAAACTGTGTTCACCTCCAGTTAGAAGACAACCTAACTTAAGAAACACAAATTACATTTAAATTTCATCAAAATGTTTTCGTGATATAAGATTTTTCGATTTTCTATTTCAAGGTAATTTGTGAATTACTTGAAGTATTAGTTTAATAGTACTTGTAATTTTGCATTAATGATTTAGATAAGACAAACTCACTCGTTTAAGTGAAATTTGTTTCAAGTTTCAAAAATAAGGAGCCAAAAGTGAGCGATATATCAATTTCTTAAATTTTTACCATTGCGAGAGCAAGTGTCCTCAAATCGGGAACTAGACTTTTTTTTCCCGAAAATAGCTTTTGTAACAAATCTGAAAGAAAATGGGAAGTTGCTTTATAAATCAACCTTAGCGACTTCGAGAGTGCTTCCCATTTGGCCTAAAGGTAAGTCGATTGTCTCTGTGCCCTAAAGTTTGGGGTTGGCGTCCCGGCCGGACCTTGTTTTGTTTTTCTGTATGTATGAAATTGTAAAATAAACATTTCGGAAAAAATTGAATTGTTGGACTTCTGTTTGCTTACGTTTTGTCGTCTTAGTTGCCACATTTTAGAGTTTTTGTGCGGTCAGCCGCACTTTTTGTCGTAAGTATTTTTGATGTATTCATGTAATTTGTATAGTTTATTGCCATGACTTTGTATGTATAACTTTTTTTTGTTTTCATTTCGCGTAAAATTCATTCGACGTAAATGTTTTCGGTTAATGTTTTACTGGCTTATTTACTTTGATTTGTATCGCTTCAAAGGCAAAAAAATGATCGATTAGAAATGAGGTAGTTTTTCTCGCAAGAGATAACTGTTTTAAAACTTAATTGCTCAAAAAAAAATTTTGGCTTAGAGCGGCTATCTTCGGCTCATTGAACTTACTGTCGGCTTAGTGGCAGCTGGTTAAGAATTAATGACTTATTTAATGCGGTTTGTTGTGTTTCTTGACTATTTTTTGATTTTTTGTTTCATTTGTTCTTAAAATAGTTTTTTTAACGATTTTTTTTATTTTCGTCTTTTTTCTAATCGCTAGTCTTATTTTCTAGGCTTATTTTCAATTTTTCTAATACTAATTTTGGACGTTTCAATTGTTTGCAGATGAGTCATTCTAGGTTCTGAGGCTGATGTATTGGAAATACCTTCTATCAGAGAGTGTCATCTGAAGTCACAACGAGGAGGCGACGTGGTTGCTACCCTGAGTCTAGTCATCTCCATTGCTACCATGCTTTGTCTCGTAGTCCCTTACTCTCTTCTCATTTATGAAGTGCTGCGGCTCCGAAAAGCTCAAGCGTGAGTTTGCAAATGTTTGATGAAAAACTTAAGCTTAAAAAGTAACGCCAGTGAAGTGCTCTAGAATCATAAATCCGATCTGTGCCTGCTCCAATTGCTCTTTTGTTGATTTTTCTTTTTCTGTTTGAACTACAGTTTATGAGGGGCCTAATCAGTAGCGGATTTAGGAGGGGGGACGCCCCCCTCCCTCCCCTCAGGGAGTCGACCCCCTGCCGACCCAAAAGGCCCCCCCCCCCTTTGTACTATTTTAAGATCTCTTTTTTGCTGACTGACCCTAAAATTTTTCTAAAGGCGCCAAAATATACTAATATTGAGGGAGTAGAGCGCGCCGAAAAAACGCGATTTTTTCGTCAAAATTTTCCAAAAAGTGCAAAAATGCCTTTTTTTGGCCTTTTTTCAAAAAGTTGCCTGCGGCGCAGAAAATTTGGTCAAATTAGGTTTTTAATAGTGGGTCGGGAGAGAACTCAGAAAATCAATTTGGTCGGCCTAAAAAGAGGTCGACAAAATTTTCAATTTTTTTACATTTTTTTTTGAAAATCCCCCCCCCCCCCCCCCGAGAAATTCCTAGATCCGCACCTGGGACTGATGATTGTTTCATTCCTTAGTTTATAGCATAAAATTTGAAAATTGTCTTTTATAACAAATTTATATAATTTTAGAGCGCTGGCCAAAGAAAATGAGTCTCGAAAACCGATGGATCGAAAACCAAAACCGGATAATCAGGACAGTTTCCACTTAAACTTGAACCCTGACAACAGCTTGTCGCTTATGATGACTCATCTCAAAAATGAAATTGAAGCCAACTTGGGCCAATTAAATACAATTTGGAGCTGCGATGAATTAGATTGCGCCAGTTCTGAGCTGAATAATGGCTCAAAAAGTGTCGAAAAAGACGATTGTTCTAGATATAAAACGGTGGCGAATCATAGATTAATGAAGCCCCCAAGTAGAGAAGATTGGCACAGGGTTATGACCGAGGGTGTTTATGATGTCAATCCGAAAAGCTTTGATTTGTCCTCAGGGAAACTACAGGTTTACTTTTCTCATGTTGATATTTAGCTGAGGAGTGAATAATTTAATGCACTCCAAAAATCCTTAATAATTTTTAGGACACTTTTAAATTTATTGGAGCTACTTTATAACCCTTGCGATGAGCAGAGCTTAAAGCTAACTTTGTTCGCAGAGGTTAAATATTTAGAAAGAAATTTGAAATGGCAAATTTACAAATATGCAGCATACTTATTTTCCTGTATAGGGCTTGCTATGTAGCCGGTAAATGCAAATCTTGAGTGTCGGCTTTAATTCTGTCGGCTTATTTACCTTATGTTTTTTCATTTGTTGTAGTCGTTTTTCTATATTCATTCAACTTTGCTCCGGTATATTTGATCATTTAAAATCTATTTGTCGACTTTCTTCGAAAACATATTAGAAAAAATCGTGAAAAAAAATTCAAAATTATTACAGATTATTTTTTTATGATTTTTTCTTGAGCTTTTTCTCTTCTCAATAAAGCTTTATTCGGATATTTTCCTTAATATTTCTTGAGCGGCCTGCTGTTTTTGTTGATTTTTTTCGATGAAGGTTATGAGTTGATTCGCAATTTTCTTGGTCTTGGTATAGTTTTCAATCAGTTTTTTGTCAACTTATTTTATTTTGCTTCAAGTGCTTTGTATTAATATACTTTTGCAGAGCGCTAACTTCTCTATAGAAGATACTCAGTTTTCGGAGGCTTTAAAGGCTATCAGATCACAAACTACCTATAAATCGTTTGGATTCATGTTTTGCTCGTAGTTTTCAGATTTTTTCTATTTCGAAGTAACAAATTTAGTGTATTTTCGCTATTTGTTTCTAGCACAATTAATGTTTTATATCTTGTTCTGTATTGTGTGCTTTTTGGGGAATCCACAGGCAAGCAGCTGAATATAAGTTAGGTGTTTCGTTTTAAGACCTGCCAAAACTTTCTGACAGCGAATGAAAAATGAAATAGAAGATAGTTAATTCATCATTTTTTGTAGATTAAGGTTTTTGTCTTAGTTTGTTTGACCTTAGCTTAATGCAACTGTTCGTCTTAATTCATAGTGATGCCTGAGAGTTTTTATTGCTAATTGGCTCAAATTAATGGCATTTTTCTCTACATTTTTTTCTACATTTTCTGCTTCAAAAATTCCCACGTTTTGATTTTTGCTTGACCATTTATCCCGGTTTTGTCTCCATAGTTACAGCTCGGAAATTTTTCATGCTATTTCAATGCTAGTTGCTACGTTCTGCCTCAAGTTTTCATCAAAATGATTTTCATTATGAACATTTCGGGTGTTTTTTTTTGGCGTTTTAAAAAAATTTACGATTCGGTTGCTTTCTGTATTGCAAGTGGTGCGTAGCTCAGCTTCGCCTCTATGTCTAATTCTGAGTGTAATATCACCCCAATTTTACTAATCAAGAAAATAACAAAAACTGTTTAAAGAACAGATGTCCATTTCTCTGTTTTCTTGCGAACACTTGCGATAGCAAATGTATTGGAACCGGGCAGTAGACTTTTTCTCCCGTAATTTACTCTGCTTAAGGATTTCATCTACTAGGCTGGTCAGACCTGATCACCAACAAAGATTTAGAGCATGTATGCAATTTAAATAACTCCTCTTTTCAAATTTTGTTTTTTCCTGGTTCTAGATTTACCAAATCCTATTTTGTATAATTTCGTTTTTCGCCGCTTATAAACTATTTTTTTTTAAATTAAGTAGCTTATTCGGCTGAGTCGTTTTTAAGTTATGTTATATTCGCTAAGTTGCCTCATCCTGCGAGGTATGCGTGGCCAAAGATACTTTCATGTTAATAGATTTTCATTCTAAAATAAATTTTAATTCAACTTTTTTTTATAGCTCACGTTTTTTTGACATTGGCTCAACGAGCGTCTACCCTACTTCCCTAATTGTGTCGGCTTAGTTACACCTTGGTAAATTTTTCCATGCTAAACTTACGCTGGCACTTGTTTTTCTCGACATGTTTTCCTCGAATAAATTCAATTTGAGGCAAATTGTATTAGAAAGTTTTTGATAGATCTAACTTAGTTCGATACTTTTTTTACTCGCAGCCACTCTCTTCATGTTGTCTACTAGCGGACCATGCTATTTTTTCGATGTATCGCTACTGGTGCGAAGCTCTGCTTCGTCTCTGTGTCATTTTTTTTTAAATAATAGTTACCGCTTGGAACATTTTGTGCTGCTTAAACAGAAAACCGGATAGTCTTCTCGTTTCGACCATCGAAGATAAACAGGAACGTTGAATTTAGCATTTATTTCGAAGTAAATCTAGCTACCACTTAAAACGTTGGATGAGGTCAAGTTGTGCTGCGAATTAAAGCCTTTTCTGTGGTCTGTCGTTATTTGGGCTGCAAGAGGTTTCCAGTTTTGTTTTGCCTAAAAATTTAGACCAATTTGATTTCCGCATTTACGTCGTTTCACGGCATTTAAAAAAGAAAAAATGTCGGAAGAATACTGGTCGGAACATTTTCTGCTACTTGCACAGCAACCGGTCATTCTTGTCTAGTTTTGTAATTGTAGGTTGAAATCGAGCAACGGACGAGAATGAATTCGTCCTCGAACGACATTCACTGCCAGGGGTTGGTATCGAACCAACTGGCCACAAAATTCTATCGAATCATCAGTGGCGACCTCAAAGAAGATCTAGAACAATCTAACTGTCCTGACGGGAGGCCCGCTAGTTTGATTGAGGGTGATTTAAAATCCACCAATGAAATCCACCAATGTTCTAGCGAGAAGAAAAAACCTATAGGTAATTCATATTTTCAGTTATAAAATATATTATTTCTTGAAATTTTTAGTATTGTTCACTGTTTTCAGCTTACAAGCAAGTTCCAGCTTAATAGCGACTGACACTGTCGTACTGACTAAGTTTGGATGAAATCTTGAAATATTTCTAAAAGCTGCCTGGAGCTCAAACTTAATTTAAAATAAGTTTATGAAAAACGAGTATGAACGCCAAACAAATTTAACTAGTAATTAAATTTCAGGAAGTATAAAAGAACAACAATCGAATCTGCGAAGATGGCAGAACTGCGAAATGTTAACGGGAATGAATGAAGATAATAGTCTCAGTTCAAGCGAAATTAACGAATCAATCGCAAATGAAAAATCGGATAACCTATTCTCTGAAAATCACCTACAATTAGTCCCCGGAGACTGTGAAATGAGCAAGAAATTAAAAGCACTTGAAAGGTTGGCAGAGAGAACTGCGAATGGAATCAAACAGCTGGACGCTATTCTGTGTGTGGACAACTGCAGAAAAGTGCAGCTGAAAACTCAAGGGCATTCAAATACGAATTCAATCGGGTAATTGTTTTTATTAATCTTACATAGACCAAGAAGGGGAGGTAGGGGGGGACTAGTCAACTATTAAAATTTTTTTCTAAATATTCAGGAACAAACTGAGCCAAGCAAAACGCAAAGCATCCGTTACTAAACAGCAAACTGCAGGCACCAGAACGCGTAAAATGGGGACCACGTTCATTTCCGTCCAAGACCAACAGTTTAAGAATGCAGTTCCAGAGCAAAAGTACTACACACTATCTGAGATTCTCAAACAAATGGGTAAGCTATTGTGTTTCTTTGGTTTTCAGCTTTTTTTTTTAGTTTTCAACAATTAGCTTTCACCTGCCTTTCAATGATAAAAAATGCGCTTGTTCAGGTATCGTGAAGGGCAAATTTTTGGCCCTTTCCACAAACTGGTAAAATTTGTTTAAACGAATCAAGTTTTTAAAGGTACGCCCATGTTTCTTATCACAGTCGCGCTTGCCTAGGTTGTGAAAAATCATCATTTTAGTTTCTCAGTATCTTAATTTTTAACAACTGAATTTATGTCATAGATACACGAAACGCCACATCACGCAGATCAACTGGGCAAAGTTCACACACCGATAGTTCGCTAAGACGAAAGTACGCTGAGTCAATGATGGGGCGTCGAGCGCGAAACTCCTACAGCGAGAGTCAGAAATACACTATCCAAAGAACTCGTGGTGCTGACTGTCTCTCTTACACGGAAGAAAGAAAAGGCAGTTTGGCATCTCTGAAGCAACTCTTAAGACGTCCAAGCTCAATTATATCTCCTAAAAATCTCAAAATCCGCATATGGTTTGTTTGATCTCTCCCCTTTTTCAAGTTTTGTCGTACTTATAAATTATTTACACGAGCAAAGCTTGTGTGATAGTATCAATTCTCTTTTTTTTTCCAAGCTAAGTCGCAAATATTAGTGTTCCTTTTGAAAGTGTTCATTTTGATAAATTACCAGCTATTAAGTGCAGCCAATGCTAAGGATATTCACACAGACTATTATATTGCAAATAGCACTTAAGCTTCAAGGTATCATGGATCTGTAGCGTAGAGGTAGGGAAGGAGAACCGCAACAAAAGAGGGTTCGAACCTGGGTAGGGTCGGATGTTTTTATTGAAATTTTTCGTATACTAGTTAAATTGAGTCTGCTCTATAATTTGAGGCATGTTAGTTGATAAATTTCTTTTTTTTTCAAACTAACTAGTACTGCTAATGCGTCATAATTGGCTTGCATCACTTAGCAATTATATAGACTCATAATTGGCGTGCGTCACTTAAGAAATTTTGTAGACTCAAAGTTTTATGCATTCAGTTTTCCCCAGTAGCGTTATCGGTGATATTTTTGCTTGTGCATGCGAAATGCAACTTCGCCTCTGTGTATGATTCAGTCGCCACAATGAAATTATTAGTTTTTGTGAGCTAATTGTAAAAATTGGGGGTAGATGTTAGCTTTTTACGCATCATCATTAATTCATGCGTTGAGGAAATCCGCCAATAACTCAAATTATTTTTCAAAACCATTCCACCAGCGAAGTTTAAACCGTATAGGATGCAAAAAATTAGAAATTCGTTTGAAAAATGTGCAGGAGCTTTGTGTTCGAGTGTGTTTTAGTTTTTTTCTTTTTTTTTGTTTTCCACGCAAAATCAGTCACCACAAATAAGCATCAGAGAGAGTTGAGTGAGACATCATTTTAAAGCTTTTTAGTCGTGATTTGAGCGGAATTAAAATTTTTTTTTTTTAACTTTTACCATTGTTGAGGAAAACCGGTTTCAAATTTTTGGTTTTTCGTTCAATTTTGAGTGAGCGAACAGGCTTACAATAGTTTTTTATGATAACTAACAGCTTACAATTGCCTAATTTATGCGGTAAAACTAGTTTTTATATGGCTGAAATTTTTTTGAAAATATTGTTTGCAATTGAAAAAGTTGAAAATATTTTTTGCAATTTTTTTTCTTGTCTTTTTTCTACAAAAATTATTCTCCAATTTGCTTAGTTTACTATGAGTATTTAACATGCCTAAGCTCTTGTTTTTCATTCAGATTTTTTATCACCCTACGAAGAAAAATTTACTATAATTTGAAATTTAAAAAAATAGTTGAATTTTTTCAAGACTATGGTCGGAATATTCTGTGATATTTACTTGCACAGCAACCGCCTCTCCTTAATTTTTTTCTTTTTGTTTTCCACGCAAAATCAGTTGCTAGAAATAAGTTTTGGAATAATTTGAGATATGTTTCATATTAAAGCACTTATAGTCGTGATTCGAACGACATAAAAATTTTGGAGATTTTATTTCTGTGTCGAGAAAAACCGGATTGAAATTTTCGGTTTTTGGTATAATTTCGAGCTAATAAGGTTAGCGTGCAGGCTTACAATAGCTTGTTTAAGCCGTAAAAAATTAGTTTTACTTGAGTAAACGAAGTTTTTTGAGTTTTTAGCGCAATTCAAAAAAAAATTCTGTTAAAAAAAGTAGAAAAAACTTGTGAAAATTGAAAAAAGATTTCTTTCCGTTTTTATTCCTTTTTTACAAAATGTGTTTTCCAATTGACCTATTTGTTTATGACTGTCCAATATGCCTAATTTCTATTTTTCCGTTCACATCTTTTTATCACACCACGCAGAAAAAAAAACGACACTAATTTGAAAACAAAATTGTTGTTTTTTAAGACTATGGTCGGAACATTCGGTGATTTTTGCATGGTAACCGGCTATCCTTAGATATGATTTCAGGATAACTACCCCAGAAAATATGAAGTTCGTCCTCCATGTCATCGTCTTAGTTGCCGTCAGTGTCCTATGTTGGCTACCCTATTGCATAATCTCAACTGCTTATTGGTCGAAAATGGACCAATTTCAGCCAATCACGTTCGACTTATCCGTATGGTTGATTTACTTCAATTCGTTCTTGAACCCTTTCGTGTACTTGTCTCAAAATTTATCGGTAAGGAAGGCAGTTTGGAGGACAGTTTTAGCAGCTCTCCCAAGGTGTTGCAAGAGAAGACCGGATTGCTTGCGTCTTTATCTATGGGAAGTCCTTGGATGTGTAAAACCCAGAGACGGATTACATCAATAATTGACTGAAACTTATTAATTCATCATGGGACAAATCAAGGAATCGACGGCCCACAAATCAAGGAATTTTTCTCGGCTTCTGATTAATCTTTTGGTTGATCAGACATCTTTAAGAGGCAAATAATCTTGTGGAGCTCTTTCTGGAGATTTTTAAACCAAAATTGCGAGCTGCTCTTAAAATTATAACAAGAGCACCAAACAAATCTTTTGAAACGCTTAAAAACTGATCAACCAGTTTAGGATGTTAACAAATACTTAAATGATTTTCGACAGAACTCGATGTAACTTTGGCTGAATGGTGTCCTAAACCTTCTTCTGATGACCGAAAAATTGTTATCACATTGCGTTATTATTTATCCCTAGTTTTAGTATTTGAGTCATCAATCTTAGATTAAAATCAATGTTATATTTAGTTAATGCGTAGAAAAATACAATATCACTTGAATGTAAACATCCTTTAAATACATTTTGACTATTTTTTTTCGCGTACTGCGAGAATTTTCAGTCTAGTATTTTCGTTCCGTTTAATTGATGAGAAGAAAAAATGGATTGAAGTAGATTTAACCTACACAAATTCAGGTGGGTGAAACTATCATCTTTAAAAAACATCTGTCATGATGCAAGAGCAATCGATTTGCAAAAAAAAAGCATTTAAACTCAGCAGCGCACATTTGACCGTTCAAAGGCAAACAAAAGAGATAAATTTCATAGAGAATCACCACACAGAAAAAATTATGTTAAAGAAGATACTGAGCAAAAAGATTGGTTACTTTAATAAGACTACTCGTATAACCGGGCTAAGCCATGACTGATCCAACTGCCCCGTAATCTATATCGAATAATTTTTGGGAAAAGAAAACATTGTTAAGCTATAAATTTAAGACAACATCAAAAATTAAGTGTGAAAATTTGAGTCATACGAAATTAATACGACCGATTCGGAAATCTCAATTGAATTTGGAACGATTTTGTTGTGCGGGATATTTCGCCAAACATAAATAATTCGTGTTATGCTTTCAGGATTATGGATATACTCTATAAAGCGCACATGAATTAGCCTAGATCATGACAAAAATTGGCCATTTTTAAACTCCCAAACTTTCGCAAAAATGATCGATTTAACATATTTTTAGATTTGATTATGCAAAAAATATTTTTTGTTTAAAATCTTTTATTTCAATCGCCGAAATTGGCGAATGTAAAACCACAACAAGCTACATTTTTTCGTTTTCTTCCACAGTCAAGACAACACGACTTCAAGGCTACTCAACAAATACCATGTGAAGTTGCGACTGCAATTTTTGATATCGAATAAAAAAATTGAGAACTGTTTTTTGAAATACTTTAATATTTTACGGTAAGTTTTCAAAAAATAATTAAGCCGTTATTACGGGAGGATAGCTAAATATGACGAGGTAAAACATCACGATTTGGAGAGGGTAATAGACAAAAACGACTCACATGATTTTGATCTACCCTCAGAAAAGTCTCTAAAGATTAGCACGCCTAATTGTCTCAACTCTGGGAAAATTTTTCTTGAATTTTAATGCAACTGTAGAGGCTTTTTTATTCTTTTTTGTTCTCTGTTAGGCCTTCAATTCTTTCTCAACTTAAAAAATAATTAGTTGTAACGTAAGAAAAACAAATTTTCCTTTAAATTACAATTTTTTACGTGTATTTTTATACTAACTTGAGTTTTGACTGGAGTTACTTTTTTGTTACCTTGATCGCTACCAGGGGCAGATTTAAGGGGGGGGGGCATACGCCCCCCCCCCCATCAGGGATTCGACCCCCTGTCGACCCAAAGGGTCCGCCCTTTGGTACTTTTTAAGAAATCCATTTTAAGTCAACCGACCCTAAAGTTTTTCTAAAGGCGCCTTTTGAGGGGGGAGCGCGCGCCGAAAAAACGCAATTTTTTGGTCAAAATTTTCCAAAAAATGCCTAAAAACGCCTTTTTTGGACGGTTTTTTCAAATTTTTGCCTGCGGCGCAGAACATGTTGCCAAAAAAGGGACTAAATCATGCTTAGGGAGAGCTCAAAAATCAATTCGGTCGACCTAAAAAAAAAGGTCGACAAAATTTTCGAATTTTTTTTTGAAAATCCGCACCCCCCTCGAGAACATCCTAGATCCGCCCCTGATCGTTACTGTTTTGAAATTTTTTCAATGCTTTCAAGTTTATGGGACCAAATTATCGCAGTTTAGCTAATGAAAGTTTATTTTATAACTAATTAGCTGCAATTGTGGCAAGGATGTCATATGAAAAAATTGTCAAATTCGTAGCTAATTAGTTATAAATTAACAACTTTCATTAGTTAAGTCTGCTAAAGTTAAGATCCCTTAAATTGGAATTTTTGAAAAACTTCATGAAAACTAATAATCAAGCCAAAAACTGAACATTGGTCACCAGGCAACATATCGACTTATCTTACTAGTAAAGATAAATAAAGTTTACCAAAGCTTTGCCATGGTTGATTAATTTTTCTTCAAAATTATAACAAGAACACCAAACGAAACTTTTGAAATGCTTAAAAACTGATCAATCAATTTAGAATGTTAACAAATACGAAAATGATTTTCGACAGAACTCGGGGTAAACTTTGGCTGAATGTGTCCTAAGCCTTCTTCTGATGACCGAAAAATTGTTATTTAATTGCGTTATTATTTGTCCCTTAATTTAGTATTTGAGTCATCAATCTTAGATTAAAATCAATGTTTTTTTTAGCTAACGCGTAAAAACAATATCACTTGAATGTAAACAACCTTTAAATACATTTCGATAAGTTTTTTTGCGTGCTGCGAGAATTTTCAGTCTAGTATTTCCGTTAAAATTGATTAGAGTCAATTTAACCCACGCAAATTCAGGCGGGTTAAAGTATCATCTTTAGAAAACGTCTGTCATGATGCAAGAGCAATAATTTGAAAACAAAGCATATAAAATCAGTAGCGCACATTTGACCGTTCAGAGGCAAACAAAATAGATTAATTACAAAGAGAATCACCACACAGACAAAGTTATGCTACTGAAGATACTGAACAAAAAAATTGGTTACTTTAATAAGACTACTCGTATAACGGGGCTAAAATTTGACTGTTCCAACTGCCCCTTAATCCATATCGAATAATTTTTGGGAAAAAAAATATTGTAAAACTATATATTTTAGACAACATCAAAGACTAAGTGTGAAAATTTGAGTTATACGAAAGTAAAACGACCAATTTGAAAGTCTCAATTGAAATTGGAACCATTTTGTTGTGCGGGATATTTCGCCAAACATAAATAATTCGTAATACGCTTTCAGGATTATGGATATACTCTATAAAGCGCACATGAATCAGTCCAAAGCATGACAAAAATTGTAAGCTTAAAAACTCCCAAAGTTCCGCAGAAATGATCGGGGGGGGGGGGGTAACATATTTTTAGATTTGATTGGGCATAAAAAATTTTTTTTTGTTTAAAATCTTTTATTTCGATCACCGAAAATTGACGAATTTAAAACCACAAAAAGCTAAATTGTTTCGTTTTCTTCTACAGTCAAGACAACAAGACTTGAAGGCTTCTCGACAAAGACCATGTAAAGTTGCGACTGCAATTTTTGATATCAAATAAAAGAAATTGAGAACTGTTTTTGATAACTTTTCAAAAAATAATTAAGCAAAATATAAATTTTTACGCTTTTTTTGCTTGTTAGAAATCACCATCAAATTTTTAGTAGAAAAGACTGGAAGGGTATAGAGAAGAGTTCCTGCAGCAACACGTGTTTGACGATGCACGCAACTTGTCAGATATTTCACATATATTTTTAAACATTCCGCTTGCAGTATTGTTCACCACAGTACTTTTTTGAAACAAAGAATTAGTAATTTTTTGATAACAAATTGTTGCTTTTTTATATTCAATTATTTTGGCTGCAAACAGTTTTCAAAATGCGTTTTAGTTGAAAAAAAGAAAACCGACTTGCAGAAACTAACCAGGTTTGCAATGGGTAATGTGAATATTGATGTTTGAGATATCGACTCATCCGCAGAAGGTGGCCGATAAAAAATTCACTTTTACGCGTCGACACTGAGAAACCGTTCGATTATTTGTGGAAACAGATTCGCAACTATAACGACCTTATATCACCGCGTTACTAAAAAACTTCTGTTTTTTGGATCAGAATCCTAATTAAAACGACCTAAATGTGAATCCTCGTTTGAGCCATTAAAATTTTTCTGTGATGTTAGCAAAATAGAACACAAAAATTGTGGACCACAGTTACTTCTCTCAATGCGAGAGTGGCCGGAACAAAAATATTTGAGAAGTAAATGAAACTGACAAAACGGAGCTTCACATCACTTGCGGTACAACGCAAGTGCAGCATTGCTAGCTTGCGAATAGAAACTGAGACGGAAATAAAAACAATGAAAAAACAATGGGAGAAAAGATGAATTCAGAAAAGCAGTCAAAAAACACAACCACCAGTTTTGAGACGGCGCAAGTTAAAGTAATGGAGCCAATAAAACGAGCCGAAACCATTTCAAGAAAAAAGCTTTGAAGCAAAAAAAAAAGAAAAAATACAATGCCAGTGGTGCTTTATTTGTATGTATTACAAAAGTAATTCAAAATTGTTTACTTCTACGATGAAACATGCGGACAGCTCAAGAAATTTCCTCGATGTGAACACTAAGCCGACAAAACAAGCAGAGAAACGAAAGTCCCATTATTCAGTTTTCCCAGTTTCAATTTCATACTTACTGAAAACAAACAAGGTCCAACCGGGACTCGAACCACTCAAACCCTAGCGTACAAAGGCAATCATGTTACATCTAGACCAATTGGGAACAAATAGGTTTGTTACAAAAGATATTTTGGGGGAAAAAGTCATGTTTCGGATTACAAGACACTTGATCTCGCAATGGTAATCAGTAAAGAGAATGGATATGTCGCTCACTTTTGTCTCTCTCCTGCTTAAGCGAGTGGGATATATCGCTCACTTTTGTCTCTCTCCTGCTTAAACGAGTGAGTTTGTTTTATCTAATTCTTTGCTGGACAATTACATGTATCCTTATAATACTTCAAGTAATTCACAAATGTCTTTGAAATAAAAAATCGAAAAATGTTTTGTTAAATTAACGTTTTTGATAAAATTTAAATGTAGTTTGTAATTTGTTCGTTAGGTTGTTTTCTAACTGGAGGTAAACACAGTCTGATTTGAAAGTAATATGAAGACCCTCGCTTTGGTAGCAAGCAAAAAAGAGCGGACCTATTTATTCCACAATTTAAAAACTAATAAATCAGAATTGAATGGTTATGAAAGCGAAATCCCCATTATTTCGACTGGTGTCTAATGGAATCAGGTCTATTTGATGAAGAAACCTTAACTCCGATACTTAATCCGAAACCTGGCAAAAACGAGTTGCAGACCTTATTAATCTTTTCTACCATGGTGACATTTCGAAGCCAAACTGTGTATTTTGTGAATTGTAGGCGCATCCCCAAAACAAGGACGCTCCATTTGTCTTCCTCTATTTTTTCGTTTTTATTGACCGTTCCGACAAAATTTATTAACGTATTTATGACTTGTCTCTAAATTGAGCACAGTTTGGCCTCGTAATAGCTCCCTATGTTGCTTGGTTTTAGTCATAAATTAGAGGCTTGGATTAATTGTATGTGACCATTTTCCCCCCTTGGTTATATCATTAAAGTTTATTTAATTTGTTCGAAAATTCCGAAATTTTCGAGCAAATTAGCTTTATATATGTCAATTTTTTCCTCCGACAAGGCATAATTTTGCTCTTAAACTTCTTCAATTTAATTATATCCTGTAGCAAATTGAATGCAACTAGAAATGATCGTGGTTGAACGTGCAGTTTTTTTAGGTTGCATTTTTATCTACAGATTCGTTTTTTTGTATTTATTTCAATTAAGCTTAGAACTACCCTGAATACGACCCGGATTGCCAAAAACAGTTGTCATACAATTTTGGTGCAATTCCATGTGTACAGAAAATGTGTTAACCATTTTTTTAAAATGTACAATACACATTTTTTCATGAATAAAAATTCAGATTTCGCTTCGATGTATGAAAAATCGTTTGGGTTCTGCAGGAAAAGGCCGCAAACTAGTGCATTCTCATATTACTATTGTGACTTTTATCTTTCATTGAGTTATTTAATTCTACACAGACAAGTTTTTGCTCCAAAAAAAACAACATTGCGAATAAATTAAAAAATCCGGGACCAAAGTCGAACAAGGATAGTCGGTTGCTATCCATGATGCACAGAATTTTCTTAAAATCTAAATGTGGTCGGAAAAAAACTTTTCTTTATTTTTATTTCAGTTCATTGCCATTTTTTGTAGATAGAGTGAGCATAGAACTATACAAAGCGTAAAAAATTAGCAACTTAGGTAAAGTTGACTCCGGACAGTTATCTTAGTAAAAAAGAATCAAACAAAAACATGAAAAAGCTTGCAATCCAGTAACCCATACAATTCTATTTGGTTTCCAAAACTCAGAAAAAAATTTGCGCAAGGTACAGAGGTTAAAATTTGGTCATTCTTCATGTGAATGTTTTAACTATTCTAGCTTATTTCATTATTCATTTTTGAGCGAGTAACGCGATACAGGAACGTTCGGTATATAAAAATTGATGAAAATTAGACAAGTAAAAAATTTCACTAAAAAATTAGAAAGGGAAACTTCATTTAGCACTTCGGTGGCAATATAGTTTTTCGTTTTTGTAAAAAATGTTTTTAATATTTTTAGAAAATTTTTACAGTTAAAGAAGAGCAAAATGAAGCTTCCACGACCAGTTTATTTAGTTTTTTGTTTAATTGACTTATTTTCATCATCTTTTAAATTACAACAAAACTGAATCGCGCTACTTGCTCGAAATTAAACTAAATTAGTTTGCTAAATTAGTTCAACGTTCACATGAATCATAATTGAATTTCATCCTCTCTACTTAGCCCTAACTTTTTATTAAGTTTTGGAAACCAAAGATTTTCTGGGGTTTCAATGTGGTTCGATCACCATTTTCAATTTAAATTCAAAAAAATTCAAATATGGTTGTGTGCATAATAATTGTGAAAAATGTTCGAGACACACTGAACCTGTCGCAAAAAAAACAATGTGTGATAGTCATTGCAGAAAAAAGGGATTAAACAAAAATTTACACGACAGTGGTTTTGCTAACGTTCTAAGATGTCTCTTCCTGTTTTAAGTTGCTGTTGAAACATCGAGTGACCATTATTTAAATTTTCTGACGTTTCGTCTGAACGATCACCCAACCGCAGGTGAATTTTTTTCTTTGAAGGCATGCATTAACCGTTTCAGATTGCTTTTTCAAAAATAAGAAAACTATTGCCTTTTCGAAATAAGTTATCAATTTAACCGCCTCACTTGATTCAGCTTTCATCCGGACGACAAAATCATTTAAAAAATCTGCCAGGTAGGAGAAAATGAAGTCAAAGTAAATTAGCTTTTGTGATTATAGCAAATAGAAAAACGTTCAATTTAATAATGTCCAGCATTTTAAAACTGCGAATATCAATCAAAAATTGACCGCTTCAACATTAAAAATTGTTTGATTAATTATATTAAAACATTGGTCTTCTAAATACACAAGTCTGAGTACAGTTGAAACAAGTGCGATGTTTTCGGATCCCAGAACTTTCTTCAGTTCAACTATAGACTTGGTCTGTCTGTATATGTCAATGCATTTGGTCAGGAGCTCTGCTCCTAAATTCTCGTCTAGTCTCGTCAAGAGGTCGTCTATTTTCTGTCTCATTTCGATTGGTGTTTTGCAGTGGTTGGGAGATTGTTCTTGGTTTTTCGGAGTTTTGGGTGATTGCGCATTTGATGCGATTGTTGGTGGGTTTGGATTGTCAAAGTTAAAATTGAAGACGTTGCCAGCTCCAACTTCTCGGAGACCTGGAATATTTGGCTTAAATTTGGCGGAAGATCAATGGCAATTTTTTTTTAATAGACAACTTTTAATCAGACTTGCTTTAATAGACGTGTTTGTCAAAAGCATCATCATGACAAGAACAAAAATATTGAGTAAAACGGTTAAATTCGTATCGCAACATAATCTTTCAGTATTTCAAGATTTTTCGAAAACCATTGAGAAAACGTTGCGATACGAATTTAACCGTTTTACCCGATATTTTAGGTTCTTGTTATGATGCTTTTGACAAACAAGCATTTTGAGCGATCTCTCCTCAAATTAGGTTTATATTGGCGAGAAGGCGCTTTCAAATATTGAAGGCTGCTTGCCCAAAAGTTTGTTAATAGTTTCGATTACAAGCGCTCACAAACTCAGCAGATCCTTTTCTTACCTTTCGGAGTTTTGACTTTTGGAGTGCTTTTCTCAACGGCACTCAAACACCTTCGGTTCTTCCTCGTTCCTTGATTGACGTTAATAACACCGCCTTCCTTACTCGCTTTCTGCTGCGCAGAATGTTTATTCACATGCCCGAAATGAAGTCCTCGTTTGTCCATTCGCAGACTGAAGAGCTGTTTCAAAAACGCCGCACTCGGTCTGTCTTGGGGCTGCATGTTGATTAGTTTGGGAATCAAACTTGCTAGAACTGGGTCGGCATTCGCAGCTAAGTTCGGATATTGAGCCTGTAAAATTTTCTGAACCAGTGCCTCGACACTGGACGCCAAGAAGGGTGGTCTTCCGGTGAGCATTTCGTATAATACACATCCAAGGGACCAAATGTCGGATTTGAAATCATATTCGATCCCTAAATATGAAGGTAAATTGTTTGAATGTCTCAGGGCAAAATTTAACTCACATCTTCGACAAAAAATTAAACGATGACCAAACTTCTGACAGCTCCGTTTCAGCTCAAAAAAGTTTGGGGCAAAAAAACTGGATGTATCTCAAAAAGAAGCAAGTACGACAGTGATGTACCGGGTTCAATTGTGAAGAGAAAAGTTAAATGATCTCTATTCGAATTTAAGGTAGAGAATCAACCTTGACATATCTCTGGTGACAAATAGTAGGGCGTGCCAATGGAAGTCGCAGTCTTGTAGTCGCTCTCCCTCCTCAAAACAGTGGACACTCCGAAGTCGCCTATCTTCACACTCGTCCTGTTGCACCCAGCTACACATCCACATGAAGATTTGAGCAGCAGGTTGGAGGGTTTGATGTCTCGGTGGACCACTTTCTGCATGTGGATGTAGTCTAACCCACACACTATCTGGTAGAACCAATCTGCGAATAACCACAATCCCAATTACACCAATAATGTGCATTTTTTTTTACCATCGCACGGATAATGATACAAAAAAGCCATCGGTAGAATCATTTGCAGCAGGTCGATTAGTTTGTTGTCCAAAAATCATAACCCGAAGATACTGGGCAACTTTCACAAGATAGACTAGGGATTTTTGATTGCCAATAGTAATCTCCGTTCAATTTTTATCGATGCTTTATATACCAAAAAAAAATTATCCTTCAACTAAATCAGGACGAGTCAAAATAAGCTTGTTTCCTCCCGTGACTGACCATGTAGCTGTACAGATGATAGTTGGTGGTTCTCTTTGTCCTTGATCACACCGCTCAAGTCCCCCATGTCCGCATACTCCATGATGATGTGGATCTCTATTTCACGCACCACATATGCACGCTTGTACCTAAATGCCAGCTACTATTAGAGTTCTAAATTGTTAGTCTTATTCTTACTTTAAAATATTTGCTTGTGTGATCTATCGACTTATAAAAAGAAGGTCTCGAAACACCTCCAATCACCACCTCAATACGAAATGTCTCAAGTTCCACTTATGATGAAAAAAAAACTTTCGGAACTTTAAACGAAAATATTTTCCAAGCATTTTCAAATCAATTTTCTCGGTTGCAAAGATAGCAAGCACCGGGGACAAGGTACGCCACTTAAGTCGAAATAATCGCAACCCAAAATCAGTAAATTGCAACCGTCGCGACTCGAAATGGTCAATTCGCGACGTTTGTGACCCAAAAAAAGAATACTTTGCGCAACCCAAAATTACTGTGCGACTACGAAATTTCAATCGCGCAACCCCCGTCGCTCGGCCGTATTTGATTCGGACTTAAGCTGCGCACCTCTACCCGGGAACAACAAAAAGAGATCGTCAAAAGACAAACAATTTGATACTAGCACACTGAGAAAAGATTGTCGAAAGGCTATAACAATTAAAATGCGACTTACCTGATTATGTTTGGATGCTTTAGAATTGACATGATGTCTATCTCTTTGCGCACCATTTCCCGCTGCTTCTTAGACAACTGGGTCGAGTTCAGAACCTTCATAGCGTATCGTTTTTTAAGCGGCTCAATTCGAACCAAGTAAACTGAACCGTAATTTCCTTCGCCTATTTGCCTCAAACATTCCACTTCCAACGGCGCGTTTTCGAGAGACATTTGAAGTTAAAATGTTTTAAAAACGGTTTTTGCCGTGAAATCTTGAGGAACTGAAATTTGAAATTTCTTACTGCGCGCAACCAGAAAACTAAAAACATAGTTCGTTTTTGTAAAAAAAAAACTAAAATTAACTGGTCATTGAACTCTGACCTTGAGAAGTGTTCTGAGATATGTTTGCCCTTTTTATAGCTTTGAACAATTCTCTCGGACAACGCGTTAACGCTCTGAAAAAAATATCGACCTTGAAACAGTGAAATAGAATTGAATTGCAAACATATTGTAAAATATGCATCATTAGAACTGTCGAAAGAGCAAAACAAAATGATTGCACTTTTCAGAGGTCAGAGTTTTTCTGAGTATTATCTTCAAGACGCTCCTTAAACCAATTTTCACTCAGCGGCGATCTGACATGTAATTCCTCATTGGAAAAAAAAACAAAATGTTGACAAAAAAGCGAATTCGACAAATCGAAGAACATTTTCTAATTAGTTTCAGCTTGAAGGTCAAAAGTAAAATGTTGTTCAATAAACTTGTTAAAAGTTAAAATTGATTTTGTCTCCAACTTTTCGCAAATCTCAATAAGTCATTTGTTTTTTTATTTAAGTTTTTTTTATCCAGTTTTTTCCAACTTTCTATCCATAATTATCAAAAAATTTTTGTTTTCAGTAGAAGCACTAACTATATAAGGTCGATAAATTTTGAGTTGTAAAATGTTAGAAACGAAACATTACACTTACTGAATCAAGAAAATTTTGAGTAAAAATTTTTTAAATAGGGTTGATGTCCGTGTTATAAGTGGTCATTCAAAAAAAATTAATGTGTTTTTTTTTCAGTAAATAGTTTTTAGCCAATCATGCAGTATGAGGTCTGGCATGTCTACCTGAAAAAAAGTCAAGAATTTACCATTTTAATACCGTCAAAAATTTGTCTCGTTAAAATTTTCTATTTAATCAAGCATCAAAACATCATGGAAGTTTCCATTTCTCTCACCTAGCGTATAAATCCAAACTCCCTTATCAAATAGCTCATCTTCCCAGAAAATGTCCAATTTTTCACAATCTGTTTTCTCATGCCGTGTCAAGTGTACCAGAGATTTTATAGCCGTTAGTCAATTATCAAAATATTTTAAATTTTAAATTGTCTCGGTGTCGAGAGAACTTGATCTGATTTTTTCCAGTTTTCCGACACAATTACAAAGATGAAAAAAAGGAAGAATTTTTATCCCCCTCACATACATAATGGAAATTTGAACAAAAAATCAAAATCCGAAGCTGTATTTCATGTCGCATTTGGGTTGCTTTGACCAAAATGTTTTATTCTACAGGTATATTACTCAAAGTTTTCGTTACACTTGCGAGAGCAAGTAATTTGTAATCGAGAACAAATTTTTTTCCCGTAAACAACTTTACTCTCAAGTCAGTAAGAAACTGAAGTTGCATTTTATTGAAATGTTGCACTCAAAGTCTGGGGTTCCAGTCCCGGCAAAAAATTGTTTTTTTTTCGGCTCAATTTCATATTTTTTCGGCTCAATTGGCGTATCTTTGAAGATTGTCAGTTCTGATAAATTATAACTCAAATGTTTTGCTTGGCATGTTTGCCTACAATGCTCTTTTATCAATTTCTTTTTCGTCTTCGCTTTTGAGTTGTTCAAAACCTCAAAACCAAAATAGCTTAGTTTAGTTGTCAAACAACTTGTAAATTTTGCCACAATGGAGATAACGAATTTTCTACACATAAGAAAAATGATCATAAATAACATTTTTGGAAACCAAGTCTTTGCGTGTTTCGAGTCAAATAGACCTCTGATCAAACCATTGATTATAATTGTATTCTAAAAATTTTTGTTCTACAATTTTTGAAGTGTGAAGGGGTTTCTCTTGTTTTGAGCCAGATAAATTCTTTGCTCAAGCCCTAATAGAATAAATTACTCAAAGTTTGATGGTTTTCCGGGACCAAAAAAAAACGATTTAATTCCGCAAGATTTTACGCAAATTGTATGTCAAATCTGAAAGACTTTACGCAAATATATGTCGCTACTTAACATTTGACAAAACCCGAGTTGCTTTTGTCGAAGAGATCGTGAAAAAGTGGACATTTTTGCAGACTGCAGAGTTGTTTTTGCGGGAAGGCGAGCTGTTTGGTAACGTAGTTTGGATTTATACGCTAGGTGAAAGGAATGGAATTTTTTCAAGTTTTGATGTTTGATTGTATAGAAAATTTTAACGAGATGAATGGTAAGCTTTTAAATCAGGATTTTTTTTCAGCTAGACACGCCAGACGTTATACTCAAAATTTCTGAAAACTACGCGATCCTCCCACAAAAATGAAGGATGTTTTTGGTAAAATGCACAAAAATTTAAAATCCAAAAGTGTAGTCTACTTCGCATTTGGGTTGTTCTGATCACAGTATTCTATTCAACATGTAAATCAACGGGCTTTTCTCGATTACACTTGCGAGAGCAACTTTTTCTTAATCGGGTAAAAAACTTTTTTTTTTACCGGAAACGATTTTGCTGAGAAACGTGTAAGAAATTGAACCTGCTTAAAAATTTACTTTTGGAGCCTAAGGTCTGATGTTCGAGCCCTGGTCGAATTTTCTTTTGTTTTCTAGTAAAAAAGAAATCCAAGCTTTTTTCCAGTGAAAACTGAAGTGTCGGATTTTTGCTTGTCTGCTCAAGTCTTCTTCGGATTAAACTCCATATCATGGATGTTTCATGTACTGTATGCAAGTTTGCTTGTAGTTGTTAGTGTTACTATTTGTAGTTTCAGAAGGCACTTATAATTTTTAATTTTTAGAATAGGTTTTTCCCCGCTCAACTGGTGTCTGTTCAAATACTGTCAGCTCTGTTTCCGCTTCGCAGGTTTTCTTCCGTTTCTTTTTTAAAACTCAAAAGGTTTGCTTAGCATGTTTGCTATGATCTATTTTTACCGAGATTACGAAAAATTTCATAGACATAGTTTGTTTTGACATTACGAGACCAAACTGTGCACTGAACAGGAACACAATTTTGTGCCTGTATATTGCTGGATGCCAGAGACAAGTCTTTATCTAAGTTGAACTTTTGTCAGAACAACAAAAAAATAGAAAGAACAAAAGAAGAACAAAAGTAGCGTCCTTGTTGCGGAATCCGCCTAAACTTCACAAAATGCACAGTTTATCCTCGTTAGGAAAACTTCTTAAAAAATTTTTCTCCGCCTCTGCGTTATTACGTTGTACAGTTACCTCAGAATCAGATATTTTTTGTTGTGTGTCTTTGTTTAACTGTCGAATAACTTGAATTTCGCATACATGAGCAAAAAGATAACAGATACAGTTTTTGGAAAGCACTTTTTTGCGTGTTTTAAATCACGTCGACTTTTGATCAAACAATAGACGAAAGTTTAATTCAAACTATTTAACAAGCTTAGAGACGTGTAGGAAGTTTTTCTTTTTGTGAGCCAGAAATATTTATTGCATGTTGAGCTTAAATAATTTTAAGTGGCCAAAAAGCATGTTTTATTAAATCCGCTAGATTTTAAGCAAATTTTAGGCCACTGTCAAAAATTTGACCAAACGCGAGTTGTTTTGTTTGTGAGTAAATTTTAAAAACTGAATTTTTTTGAAATGTTTGCTAAAAAGGCGAGCTATTTGAGAATAGAGTTCGAAATCATACTCTAGCATGAGAAAATTGATAAAAATTTTTCACCTTATTAGAAAAGTAAAACCTGAATTTTTTCAGCTAGATACGCCAGACCTCATACTGCAATAGTTACTATAAAATATCTATGAAAAACAATACTTAGATCCTTCTTTGATTGGCCACACATAGTAAAACCATCCTTAAGGCATCTGCAGGAAAAACGCTCAGCTGCATTATGTATAGCGCTCAGATGAAGTATCTTGTTAAAACCTTATTGCCCGCATTGGATTTCCATGAATAAAAATCGATTATAATTGAGTTTCCTTGTTAGTGTCCACAAAAGTGAAAACAAATTGATTATAATCAATTAAAAATGGATTAAAATATTGCTATTTTTCGAGGCAAAAAAAAACCTTTTTTCATCCATTATAATCGATTTTTTCTCTATACTGAGATGCGAATTTCAACGCATATAAAGTCTTTTCTACGTTTTAAACTAAAGTTGGTTACGTTGGTTACGTTCAATTTAACTTTTTTCTACCTATCTTTGATATTTTTGTTACTTTTTTACGTTACTCAACATTACCCTCCTAGCGTTTGAGATCAAAATGGGGGTGGGTTCAGTGGAGGGATGCTCAGGTGGGGTTGGGTTCAGGTGGAGAGACAGATGTTCAGGTGAGGTGGTGTTCAGGTGGGCGGATGTGTTCTCAGGGGGTTCAGTGGGGGGGGGGGGGTTCGGGTTCAGGTGGGGGAGGCAATGCTTTGCAAAGTTTCCGCATTACTTATTTAATAAATGCAGAATTTCTTGCAAAGTTTTGCACGACGCGCGAAACATAATTAAAGTGGAAAAAAATCCATTTTAATATGATTTCCTGCTTATTATAAAATCCATTATAATGGATTCGAGATGAATTATAATGCATTTTGTTTTGGTGAGAAAAAATGGATTTAAATCCATTTTAGTCCAATTTTGTTATCTGAACGTAACATGGTAATCGATTTTATCTACAACATTTTAGACCACGAATATCCATTATCGTTCCAACTTTCGATACAAAAGTAACAGAAGATTTGTGCTCGGGGTAGGGTTTTTTTCTTCAGACAAATTTCGACTTTTTAACTAGCCATTTTTGACGGAATTTTTTTTATCATTCAAAAAGTATTGTTGTCGTGAGCTCAAATTTGAAAAGATATTTCACCTGTTGTCATTTTTCGTAAAGTTATGGGGGCTTAAAGATTGCCATTTTGGGCAATTTGGGACAATTAACGCGCGATATATTTCGCGCTATTAACGCGTAAGCGGAGAATTAATCCGTCTTAAAATTGTTCCAATTTAGTTGAGAGAAGCGTATTCGCCATGATTGATTTGTTACAAGGAGCAAAACCTATCCTTTTGAACTTTATATGGCGTGTGGGGGTGGATAATTTTCATAAAAAGTTTCA